AGTTCCTGACCCCAGTGAGTCTGGATGAGGATAATGTTAACCTGAATCACTTCTGTGTACCTCTGAACAGCTCAGATACCTCGCCTCTGGTCAATCAGCCACAAGAAGTTTAGCAACAAATCAGACAAACACTAAAACAGCAAGAACAGAACAGAGGAAGGGGATGAACCAATCATAAGAACAGGAAGCTTTGAATATGCAGTATGCACAATCAGGTCTCAATAAAGTAATACCATGGGTAACAACAAAAGAGGTCTATATCATGCTGCATTTTCTTTTTAGTTCCTGAAATATTTAAATTGCAAGATTATTAGTCTACAACTATCTAGATACTTTGTTCCCTCACCTCACAAACTGCTGACTAATGGTGATAGGCAGACCAAATTCCATGTGCCTAGGAGCAAGAAACGGCCTAAGTGGATGTGCTAAAGTGGGAGGATTTTGGACATTTATGTCATGGTTGGTGTTTGGGGAGATATTAGATGTTTGTGTCATTGTTGTGTGGGAAGGCATTCATGGAACGGGGCAGAATGCTCACGTTGTAGATTGTAGGCGGGGAATGTTGGTTAATGTTGTGGTTGGTGTGTGGAGAGGGAAAAGAACAGGACGCTGGATGTTTATGTAGCAATTTCTGTGTATTTGTGTATTTGTGGGTAGGGCCTTAGAAAGTCATGTCTATCTTGCCCCAAAACGAATAGAGAAAAACACTTTTTAATTATTTTGACTGAGGATTATACAGCAAAAATAGACATTTGGGTCAGGCACTGAAGGATTGCGTGTGATGGGGCAGAGGACTGCTGGATCTCATTTGGGGAAAACATAGCAGCTTCAGTTAAAAAACATGTGAAGATTGCTAATACTGTACAATACTGTACCTCATTACCGTGGGAGTAATTGAATGCAAAAGAACTGGCTTCAGTGCAGGATTTGTGAGGGAATATATTAGACCCAGGGTACAAGGAAAGGCTCTGGAAACTGTTGCTTTTATTCAGTTGGTGTTTTGATATATGCATAAATAAAATACTGTTTTGAGTTTTAGAAATGATTTCACTGGTTGATTTAGGGCCACAAACAACACAATCGTTCACTACTGCGCCTATGGAATGATAGTGGAGTATAAGGAAATGAAATGAAGAGAGTAAGCTGGAGGGGAAAAAATACCACAAGGTGTATTAAAACCAGATTCCGTGCAAAACAAGATCTACAGTCAGTACAGTCTGAAGCCTGTTCCAAGTGAATGAGTCAACAGCACAAAGCTACCCCTAATACAGCACTAACATTGATGACTGCATATAGAAATATCATAAGTACATCTTGTGTGTGTGAAAATAAATATTTAAACTGTGTAGCAAAGAAGATTATTTTAGAGGTTGGAGTTGAAGCATATTCAGGCAGAGTAGAAGACCTTTATTTTGGCTACGTATGCCGATGGAAATCTTTTATAATGAATCAATAAAAGTGGTTAGTGGAAAAGCTGAGATTTTACTGATGGTCAAACATATAATTCCACAACTTTACTCAGTGTTTTTTCTTCTTTTACTTACTGTGGAATGCATTATTCTACTTCATTCTTACTTTGTTTGTCTAGTATGTGCAAAAAAACTGTAGAGCTGCACATAGACCATGTATACAACACGGAAACCTCTGACTTAATATTGTTAACAAAAGAATGTTGTTGTGGTAAAGAAAAAATGCACTGCATGAAGAATAAAGTTCTCTCTACTGTGCTTGAATACTTGAACAACACGCTTTAAAACCCAGGCTCTGCAGAGCATTGCCTGGTGCATTTTGTTTTACACACAGAATATGTAATTATAGCATTTCTATATGCAGCTGTCAAGGTTATCATTTTACAATGGATCAATAAAAGGTAGTTTCCAGAAAAGCAGGAATTTTATTCATTTAAATCAGTCCTTCATATGAGATTTTAAATCGAGGTCCTGTTTGCCTGTTCAAGTGAGGATTAAAGATGTAGTTGTAAAAGAGAAGAGAGTGTCTCCCTGTGTCCTGGCCAACAATTCCCCCAGATAAAATTGGTCATTCACTTAATGGCTGTTGGTGGGACATTGCTTTGCATCCATTGGCTGTTTTCTCCACTTTACACTTTACACTTTATAGTAAATCCTGTGAACAGCATTGAGCTGTCCTTCTGATGTGAAAGGCGCTACATAAAAAAGCAAGGATTAGAAGTAAATTGAATAAAATAGTCAAAAATATTATTCGCAAAAATAGTAATGGTAAAAAAAATCAAAAAAGAGAAAGTACCAAAAGACTGAGAGTCCCACAAGGATTAGTTGAACCATTGCTTAGTGTGAAACTGAGCTACAAAGAGAAGTAAGGCCACGGTGTGATCTGTGGTAAGTTGTGATCACAAGCCAGTGAAGCGTTGGAGCTCCTGCACTTGGCACATTGGGTGACAAGGTTAGCCAGGTTACCTAAACTCATTCCAAAGACCCCAACTGGGAAGTAGGCGTGTGTGTGGGTGGAGTGGGTGAGGACATGATCCATCTCAGTTGGGTTTTCCTCCTCCTCCCAACACTCACTCTTTAGGCATACAGATAAAAAATAAAAGTACCTCGTTTTACCAGAAGGCAACCTGCATGAGTCAGCACCTTCACTAGGGAAGATAAAAGTATTAAAGCAAAAGGATGAAGGAACATATCCAGTTGTTTTGTTTTCAGGAGAATATTAAAAAAACAGCTTTAACGTCAGACTTAAAATATTGCATTCTGAAAAATCACCAAGTTGAAGTCAATTTGGGCAAAACACTTTTTGTGGTATTTTCTGATCCTTTTATTGGTAATTTAAGAGAAGAAATAATATGCTTATGGATTTTTAAAGTTTGATTTGAATCCAAACACATTTTAGAAGCATAACGTTTTTCAAATTTACAAAATTCAGCCGCATGCTAATAATCACAGAGACCAAATCTATTTGTGATAATGTGTCTCCAGTAAGCAACTGCAAGTTAACAAGATCTTGAAAGGACAGGATAAACACAATTCCACAATAGGCTATCCCTTCATAGTCTGTTTTTATTTATAACTAGTTGTACCCATTGCAGCTTCGCTTGCAACTGAATGATCCAATATTGAATGTAGATTGAAACACAGACAGACATTTCATCTTCATCTACACTCATGTGGGAGGACTCCTGCAGGAGGACTCATTTTGGCCGTGCTATTCTTTGAGTGGGCAGCTCATTTTGGTGCGCTGTTGCAGTTCCTTTAGTGTTAAAGTGCAGCCGTGCTGTTCTTTGTTCTTCTGTTTCATTTAATGGGTCTTCTCTCTTTTGTGTAGCATTTTTATGCTTGACAGGTTTGATTTTCTGCTTAGGAATCTTTATAATGATAAATATAAATTTATAATCACTGGGACATTATCCCGACGTGAAAGACGCTTTAAAAATGTAATTTTGTTGTTGTTACCATGGCTTAGCTTCGTCTGTGTTCTTTATTTTGTTCCTGCTTGGCTACGTGTGTGCTCCGTGACGCTGGATGTCACAGTGTCACGGTCAGCAGGTGTAACTGCATTGCATGCGTACATACGTAGGTGTTCTGTGACGCACGATGCCATGGCACCACATTGACTCAGTGGCCACCAGTTGTAACTGCAGCAAAAAACCAAAACTGAAATACATTTTAGGTCATAAATCATGACCGATAGGAGATACCCAAGAACAAATATGCCCATGTCACTCTCAGGTGCAAGATCTTTCCGATGAGATTTAAATCATGTGTCTATGTCAGTCGGTTATTGAGATCCTTCTTGAAGCACATACAGACAGGGTCGTTTTATTCGAATGTATAGATAGAAGATGAAAAATAATTCCTTCACTAAGAGGGTTGGCTCCTCCCTATTTCTTCAACTTGCTTACAAGCACTCTACCTATCTCTTTCACTCAGCTGGCTCCAGCCGTCTGCACAAACCCTCATCCCCTTCACTCTACCATTGGTACCCTCATAACACAACCCCTCAAAACTCTGCCTTAATCCCTCTGCCTTGTCTCCCCGTGCTTCATCTTCAGATTGTAACTGAAGACCTTCCTCTTTGACCTCCCCTCTCTCCAGCTCGGCATCTAGCTCCACCATTTAAGCAATCCGAGACACTACCACGTGTGAAGGGTGCTATGTAAATGCAAGTATTTGTTGCTAAAAGAATGGAATGCACTACTCCGTACAGGCAGAATCAGATATAATATTTAAAAGAGAGGCAGATGGATCTCAGGAAGCAAGGATATTATTTATTTAGAACTGAAACATTCTTGTTCCAATTACTTAATTTTTATAGTGCTTTACATCTAAAATAACATTACAGTGGAATTTTTTTTCTGACTGGTAATCATCTCAGAAATTGCATTGGCAGAATATAAACCTACTTTCATCACATATTTCCGTAACATCGCCCAACTCCACCATTACCTCACCCCTCAGGCCGCTGAAACTCTTGTTCATGCCTTCATCACCTCCAGGCTCGACTATGCAACTACCTCCACAGGCTGTAGATAATCCAGAACTCTGCAGCCCGTGTCCTCTCCCACACCAAACTGCGTGACCCCATCTCCCCCACTCTCGCCCGACTCCACTGGCTCCCTATCCTTCAGAGGATCCAGTTCAAGATCTTGGTCCTCACGTACAAAGCCCTCCATGGCCTCGCCCCACCCTACCTCTGCGACCTCCTAACCCCCTAGCAACCTGCCAGTTCCCTCCGGCTCTGGCCTGCTCCACGTCCCCCGACCCACCCGCCCCACCATTGGCGGGAGAGCCTTCAGCCACCCTCTGGAATTCCATCCCACAGTCACTCCGCCTCACTCCCTCCTTAGCCTCCTTCAAGTCCCGCCTCAAGACATTCCTCTTCGACCATGCCATCGGCCACCCCCCTTCCTCTCCCCTCCTTTACCCCCCCCCAACCCCAGCTCGGGTCTGAAATGCCGTACTCTGTCCAGCGCCTTGGGACGTCCTCCCGACGTGAAAGGCGCTATCCAAATGTAATCTTGTTGTTGTTGTTCAAACCCCTGTGAGATTGAGACTTTTTGCGTTTAAACAAAATTCAATTTAATTGTTTTCCTTAACATCGTAACATATGCTCTATAGACACCAAATTATATTCAGTAGAATGATTAAATAGCAGATGAAATGACGTGGTGGAAACAGATGCTTCTGTGTTAACTGCACTAATAATTCTGGTTAAGATTGATCAATGTGCAATAATACATCACGTCGCTACAATTTTCTACTGGCTGACAGTCAAGCTTTATAGTTGATTTTCATGCACAATTTTACCATAGTGATACAGTGAGTATTAAGAGTCTTTTGTACCTTTGCATTTATTATATTGGATAGCATGCATCAACGTGGTTTGTAAAACAGAGTTACTTAACAAAATGAATTGCATCCGATTGAACAATTGACCCTTTGAAGCTATCTAAATTGGTCAGCAGCTTAAACCTGCTCTTTAAAGCCATCATGATTGCCTCAAATTTGAGGGTTTCCAGAGTGCAAATGAATGTATTGTCTTCCTTCAGAACCAGTCGTGTTCCACTTTCGGATTTGATGAAATACTTAAATTGGATGACATGCGATGATACTGTGAATTCCTGGGGAAACCCATCCAGACGACTCTTTGACACCTGGACAATGCGCGTCTTGATTTTTGATATGAAATCTGAAGAATTGCAGAAGATTCTGAGCCCTTGAGAGCGATCATGGTTATCTATTATTTCCAGGAATGTGGCTTCTGGTGCATGTTGGACATTCATACTTTTCGTCTTTAGTGCCTCCGTGAGAGCATTTAGTTGATAAAATTCTGCCTCTCGTGTTAAAAGTTGGGTTTCTTGAAATCCTTCTGGTAGGAGAAGCTCACCGTTTCTTAAGAAGTTAAGAACGTGTCTGAAAAGCAGACCATCACGATCCAAGAAGTAATTTCCATCTGCATCGACAGTATTCTGAATTTTACCATTCACCACAGCTTCGAGTAAAGAATCTGCATACTTAGTTATTGTAAGTCTCTGTGTTGTGTAGAGATGCCCACCAATGTTAAGGGTAATCACAGGCATCTCACAGTTTGTACCCTTTTCCAGGCCTTCTGAAGTGCCACATTTTCCTTCACAGTCGGTATCCTTTTTATTGATCTTCCCTTCCATTTCACAAACCTTGATGTTAATTAGGCTGTGCTGTGTTGAATTTGCTGGTTGTAAAGAAGATCGCCTGTATGCAGTATAGCAGGAATAATGAAATGGAAATGCTGGCAGGATTTCATAAGATGTCAGCAACATTTCACTGTAGGTGGCATTTCATCTATGTATGCAGTGAGTTCACAGCGATATAATTTGATATTGAAAATTTGCATTTAACTCTCTAAAGGCAAGATCGGATTTATCATCTCTCTGACAATTAAAGATGCCCGACTTAATCTTTCTCCTCAGATGAAAGGTGTTAAAAGCAGTATTGTGTTTAATAACAAGTTATACTTACTGTCTGTTGAAACAATTTGTTCATGTTTGTGAGTGTAAGAGTGTACTCCTGTGGCTGATCGAGTGAATGGGGGAATCAATACAGTATGGATATATCTGTACTTTGTGTACTTAACACTGAGATCCATTTCTGTCCCCTGTATCTGGCTAAGTGATCAGAATCAAAATGGAACTCTTGATCCTTGGAATATTAACAACAATTTTAAAAAAATATTGAGGTGCACTGAATATTCACAGAAAGGCTGTTCAGCCTCGACATTAACAGAATGAATAAACAATTATTGGGCAATGCAGCTTTAAGTGACGGTCGGTTTATAGAAGCTTCAGGGAGGAGTTGGTTGCAATTCATCCCCAAAGGTCAACACTTTGTTCACCTCGTGATTTTTAAGTGAGTGAGTGTGTTTGTACCACTCATTAAATTTTATTTCTTCAACTTGCACTTGTATTGAATGAGGTCTTATTGAATTTAAAGAATGGCTGAATCCTTTCTTTTAGGCTGCACTAATTCTTTACTGTGACCTAATATTTCATTCAAGTAACACTGGGTGATGTTTTAACTTTGTTCGCCTCGTGATTTTTAAATGAACGAGTGTGTTTGTACCACTCATTAAGTTTTATTTCTTCAACTTCAATTGATCTTAACGTCCAGTATGGAATACAACTTATGTTTAACTGAGAGCTCCTTTAAATAACAATAATAATCCTTTGCATTTGATATAGCACCTAATCATGTCTTTGAGATGTCTCAAAGCGATTCACAGAATATACTGTAAAGTGAATTGACTGTATATTTTGTGGGCTAAATGCGTCAGCCAATTGTCGAATGAACAGTTGTGGGTTGAAATGACCAATTTATTATTTAAAAAAACATTTTTTTTAAAGAAATTATTACCCCCAGAAAAGCGATCCACCAATCGACTTAACAACTGGATTCCTGCTTCCTGCAAGGTAAACAGAGGCGTGTGGAGTAAGGAAACTTGCCCAACATTTCGCCCTGCTGGGAATTGAATCCAGGTCTCTCGCTTGCGAGGCAAGTGCTCTAACTGCTGAGTTACAGGACTCCTAATGTTGTCCATTTAATTATTTTGGTCAGATTTGTTTGAAACCTCATCAAGAAGCTTGTATCATCATTATAATAATCCTTGCATTTGATAGAGCGCCTTATTATGTCTTGGAGACGTTTCAAAGCCCTCCACCGAATATACTGTAAGGTGAATTGACTATATTTTGTGGGTGAAACGCGGCAGCTAATTGCGCACAGCAGTGTCCCACAAACAGTCATGAATTGAAGTGACCAATTTATTATTTTTTTTGTTGGATTGTGTTGGATCAGTATCACTCGAATTGCCTTCCTCTATATCATTTGTGACTAGTAAAACAGCAGAAAATCGGAAAACAATCCCCTAGTCAAAATCTGTTCACTACTTCCTCACAGATTAGGGCCGTATTCTCTGGATTCTCCTTAGACACTATTTGGTTCTTTCCATTTTATGGATCATTTTGAAAGTGACAACAGAAAATTACTGATAATTCGCCCACAAAATATACAAGTCAATTCACTTTACAGTATATTCTGTGAGGCGCTTCGAGACGTCTCAAAGATGTGATGAGATGCAAGGATTGTTACAAGGATTATTATTATTCACCCAGTGAATACAGAAGATTGTTTTGCTTTATAGTGAAATCATGTTGATTGTAATAGCACATAATTGTTCAACAAAATTCATGGGAATTTGGGAAATCTGATTTGCCTCTGCTTTCTAATCAATGAGCCAATTTTCAATGCAGCATGCTGCAGTCCTATTAATTCCAGGGGCCTTAATCGTTTTTGAAAGCTTCACGTGGAAAACTACTGCAAAATCCAAGTGGATTCTTTCCACTGAAATTTCCAGTCATTCAACTATTTCCACAAAGAATTCCAGGAGATTTGTGAGGCATGATGTGCCTCAAAAGTTATCCTAGCTTCCCTTTCTGGGCCTCAATATGCTTCATAGTATTTTATTGCTACCAGTAGGCTAAGTGGTCTGTCTGCACTTGTGGCTGATGTTTTATTTTGCATTATTGGATGTTAGACATTGCGCTCTAGTGTTTAGATATAAGTCTCGTTTGTGGAGTCAACTATATCCTCAACAATTTCCTTTAATAATAATCCTTCAATTTGATATAGTGCCCAAAATGTTGAGATAATCTCAAAGCACTTCAAGGTTTCTGTGTATCTTTAGGCCTCTCGTTTTCCTGTCCACATCCTTTCCCTTGGTGATATCATCCACAGAGATGGGTCAAGTTCCATACTTATATCTTTCCATCTCAACCTTTGATTCCAGTCCCCCTCTGCTGTTCTGATAATTTGTTTGTAAGATATCATCATAGATGAGCCTTAACTTTCTTCAAGCGACAAAACCAAAGCTATCCTAATTGACTTCTGCCTAGTTATCTCAGGCACCAACCATATCAGCATTCCCAGTTGTTCACTGCAGCTCATGGAACCAGTATAAATTTTGTTGTTTTATTTGACCCTCACCTCTCCTTTTCCCATCTTTCACTAGAAATTTTCGAAAACATCTGGACACTCCATCCTTCTTCATTTTCAAAACCCACTTAAAAACCTATCTCTTTGAACCCATGCTTTTGTGTATATCTGCCTACTCCAGTATCACTGCTTCTCAAATCAATGTGCACCAAAAGACATTAATACTTGGAGCAAGTCAGAAACTACACTGAAGTTGAAAATTTGTTCACTTTGCTTTTTACGGGCATGAAGCACTCTGTGACGTTACCCTGCATCAAGAACACTATATAAATGCAAGTTGTTGTTGATTGGTAGAGAATGCTTGTAGTACCCTGCTCAAATGATAAACATGCCTATCTGTTTCTTGTAGAGCATTCTGTGTACCAACTATGTGGATCTATGCTGTAACAAATTGGACGTCAGGTTTTTGATGACTGGGGTTGTGCTGAGTTTTCTTTATCTCAGGATAGCAGATTGGTGTTCGGCTACAAATACACAGTCGATACACTTCACAGTAAAATCCTGTGAAGCACTTTGAGACATGACGATGAGATATCAAATACAAGGATTATCATTAATTTGCTATTGATTTCAGTGCCTTGAGGTGGGTAAGGGGAAAAAAATCAGCCAGGGTCCTGGAGCCCATTGCTGGTGGATGTGCATGTATGGATGAGGATAGGATGTGGTTCAGCTGTTAAATATCCTGGTGGTTAAATAACTTGCTAACCCTCACTATTAAGGTTCACATGTGAATAATGGTCACATTACTTGAAGGAGACCAACCCTAATGAAAACTGTATCCCAGTAGAAGAGAAAAAGGAGTCATAACCACTTTTAGAAAAGGTGAAGGGTAGAAAATTGGCAAGGGGGGATAGAAAATTGTAGTTATAACAGCAATCCTACACCTTGTGTACTTAGAAAGCATGGTAGTGGAGGAGAGGAAAGCTTATGGAAAAAGGGGCTTTGGGCCAAAGCCAAAAAAACTACCGTTTGGTGTAAACCTACTTTTCAAGTGCAGCACTAGTTCTTTTACATTGCTGTTTAAAACATGTGTCAATGTTAAATGCTCAGAATTAGTGCAAAAAATTTTGTTTACTTCATTCTGGCTCTCATCCATCATGCCATTTGGCACTTTCTGTTTGCTACCTTTCTTATACCAATATAATGGTCTCCTCACATTGATGTGAAAGAACACCTTTTTTAAGGATCTCTCCCAGAAAAGCAAAGCCTTACTTTGACCACAACTGATATTGAGTGGATTGTGATTTATTGTCCCACATATTTATTCAATTAGTTCTTTTGAATACGGGAGCTCTGTAGAATATTCCTTTTCATGTTCTATAACGTGGAAAGGAAAGTCAGTACTCAAGAGTACACTGGAAGTGATAATTAACAGCTGCTCATGTTTATTTAACGTTTTATCTTGAATTTATTTGGTGTTTTAATGCCAGGATACATTTTTTATTGCTGTGGTTATTGTACTGTAAGTGAAAGGAAAGCCTTTCTGACTCTTTGTAGGCCTTCAGCTATTGTGAGGGGTGGGGGGTGAAGAGAAGTAGTCCTGAAGCCTCCTCTTCTCTCTCCTTTCCTCTCTATGGTTCTATTCATCTAATGTTGCTTCTTTGTTGAGTGTTCTTGCTTCTGATTGCTATCTGGTGATGCTTCTGGAAAATATGTTTGCCTACAAATACTGTCTTGCAGAAAAAACTCTGAAATGCTTTGAGACATTTTGATGTGTACATACAGTATCACAGTAATGCAAAGCTGCCAGTGCTATATTAAAGAAAGCTATATTAAATTATATAAGCCTTTAATATAATTTGAGCATTCAGCAGTAATAGTATGTAATTAGAATCGTTAAATAATTAGCAGTCAGAAACCTGCAAAGGATTAATACTGTTGTGCAGAGGAGAATGGTCTGGCTTTGATAGCTTCAGAAGGTTTGGAAATATTTAGTTCAGGTTCACTATGAATAGTCACTTGTGTAAGGTGGTGGAGCACTAGAGAACCAGTGGCTCTGCAACCCAACTGCCTGTGGGAGAGGAGAAGGGAATTTTAATAAACAGGAAAGCAAATGTCAGTTATTTTCACTGTCAACTAAATTATAGTGCTAGTGCAGTGGGCTCTTAAGTTAAGAGAACTGGGTCTTGATTGACTTTTAATGGAGTGGGGCAGGGGAAGAGTAGTCATGTCAGACTTAGCTAGAATATGTGGGAGTGTCTTTACCACTCTGATAACCAGGGAGCAGCATGGACATTGCCCTCACAGTAATTGCCAATGTTACTAGCCACTAGTTTAGTGAGGACTCCTTTAACTAGTATGATTTACATTGTTTTGGCTGGAGCGGGTTACCCTACATATGAATGATGATGCCGATTTTAATCCAAGAAACACAAAGCGGCTTTGTGCAATTGGTCTTCATACTAAGAGAACAACACTTGGCTATGTAGAACTTAAGTTGTAGTTGGCAGGCAACCAATTAATATTACTTACCCTTAGTTATTTTCTCCTTTAACTCTTTAAAATATTAACCACTTTGTGGGTTACAACACATTAGTATACAATGTTACCTTTAACATTTGGTGCTCTTTCGATTTAAACAAGACACAGTGTGGTATGGGAATAATTGAATGGTTAATAGTTACCAGTTGCTTTCCTTGGTGGTTTGCAATGTTTCTTCTTGCAAATTTAGCAGGAATCTGCAAAGTGTCTGTCCTCAACAGTTTTCAGACTACAGTTTTGTATTTAACAAATTGCAGTGGATCTGTGTGTTTGTCATAGTGGCTATTTATCTTTGTGGAACATTGTGTATAATTCAGAGATCGTGATTTTCCTTTTCCTTTGTCTCCCCTTCAAGAAAAACTAACCTTTGAAGGAGTCGTGGTACAGCGTGCAGAATGCAGACCAGCTGTCAATGAATCTTATATGAGGTTGAAAAGGTCAGTGATAGCTTTTTGAACTAAATTATAATGTTTTAAATTTATTGTTTGGTCCCTATAGTCGACACTGCGTTAAGCAGTTGTAGTTTGATGCAATCCTATCAAAGTACTTAGGGTTTAGCTGGTCTCAGCCAGGTTGGTAGTAGGGGCAATACAATTGGCATCACCACTTCTATATCAGAAAGAAGGTAAACACTAAGCCAGAGTTATATCATTATCTTCATCCAGCAATGTCTGCTAGAAAATACATGTTAAATGGTAGATCAGAACAGGATTTGCTTTGCCTGTGATACCCTCCATGTTAGTTTGTTGACACTCACTGTCTAGGCTCACATGAGATGAATTGTCACTTGGGAAAAGTATTGACAGGCTGCCATCACCCATGAAAACATGAAAAAATGACCAAAAAATCTATTTGCAATCAGCATTACTGATTACAGTACTGCCAAGGAAAGAATATATGATTGCAATTAAGCTTAACTGTCTCGTATAATCTGGTAATATATGATGTATATTGCATTTTATAAATTTACCTGTTTTAAGACCTAACATATGGCCTCTTTTGGATCTTACATTGTGAAAGTTGTGAAACATCACTGTCGGGTTCAGCAAACCTGAATGATGACTTTTCGTCAATCAATAGTTTGAAGGCTGTATTCTAAGTCCAAAATATTACTGATCAGAATACTCCCCAGTGTGTTGACCTTTGCAGGTTTCTGACCTCTAATTATTTAAAATTTCTAATTGCATAATTTTATTGCTGAATGTTTAAAATATATTAAATGCCTATATATTTGAATATAGCTTTATTTATTATAATACTGGCAGCTCTGCATTACTAGCTGACTGTAAACCAGTTTGCACCCTCAAAAAACTAAGTTGAATAGCTTTGAATCAAAGTACAATTTAATTTAAACAAATAGTTATGCTACTACAGGAGGTACCAAAGAGGTAAGGGGGGTACCTACCGTAACTAGCCTAGTTACAGTAGGTACCCCCCTATCTCTATGACCTCCTCTCTCCTAAAAACAGTGCGCATGGCTTTCGTTCCTCCGGATCTGGCCTCCTCCTTGTCTCCCGAGTCCTCCACTCCACCCTCGGTGACTGTGCCTTCAGCCACTATACCCGAGGCTCTGGAACGCCCTTCCTCACTCCCTTTGCCTCGCCCCCTCTCTTCCTATTTTCAGGTCTGATGAAGACCTTTCTTTTCAACCGCGCCTTTGGTCACCTTCCTCCCCCTCCTCCTGGCTCAGCCTCGGGATCTGTTACTGTGAAGCGCTCTGAGACTCCGTCCGGCATGGCGGGCGCTATATAAATCCAAGTTGTTGTTGTTGTTTGTAGGTTGGTAGATGTTGGGGTTAAATGGTTCTTTTTTATGTTGTTTGTTTTAATGACTTGAATTCCTACCTACATAGAAGTTAATGACGAGTTGTGTTTTTATTTAATTTGCCTTATCATGATATTCCAGAAGCAAACAATACCAAATTTGTGGGTCAATCAAATAATAGCTAATTGTTAGGTAATATTACCTTGACATTATCTATTAATGTGTAGAGGGAGATGCTAAATATCTTAAAATGGATGTAGTTTGACAAGCTCATCCCACCTTCAAATCCCTTTTTAAATATTAGATCAAAACAAAGGATATTAACTTCACTATCACAACAATTTCTTGCTAATTTTCTCCTTTAGATTTTCTTCCGTTTGCTTTTCTCTTCAAGGGATTTTTCATTCACTTTATTCCCTAATTGGGGTTGAATTACACAACAGCTCTCAAATAGCTGGTGTAAAAGCTCAGTATAGCTTTGACAGTCAGTGCTGGCAGAGGATTTTTCAAGTGGATCTGATTTTTATATATTGGATCGGGTCCACGTGCACTTTTTTTTTACAAACTAGAACACGCTGCAATTTGGAGAAAATTTGTCATCAGAATTCTTGAATCATAGACCTATTACTGTGCCAGCTCCAACCTACAGATTGATCAACATTTCAAAATGTTGCCCAAAGTTAACTTGCAAATTCAAAAGGCTGTAAAATGTCTTCATTTACTGCTTGTGGACCTCCCCAACTCCTCCCTCCACAGGCTGCAGATCATCAGAACTCTGCAGCCCGTGTCCTCTCCCACACCAGGCTCCATGACCCTATCACCCCCATCCTTGCCCAACTCCACTGGCTTCCCATCACACAAAGAATACAGTTCAAGATCCTGGTCCTCATCTTCAAAGCCCTCCATGGTTTTGCTCCCCCCTACCTTTCCGACGACCTAACCCCCTGCCATCCTGTTCACTCCCTCTGCTCAACGGGCTCTGGCCTGCTTCACGTCCCCTGCCTTGCTCGCCCCACTATCAGCGGGCGGGCCTTCCGCCACTCCGCCCCCACCCTCTGAAACTCCATCCCGCAGTCCCTCTGTCTCGCCTCCTCCCACGCCACCTTCAAGACCCATGCCCTCCCCCCTCCTCCACCCCGACCCTCAGCTCGGGTCCGAAACTCAGCACCTTGGGAAATCCTCCCGACATGAAAGGCGCTAGATAAATGTAATTTTGTTGTTGTTGTTGTTCATTTGTTTATTATAAAGATGAAGTACTATCTGTACCTTCAATTATCCATTAGAATTAGAGCTCTATTCAAAGTATCTATTGTTAACCATTAACAAAGCAAATTACGTTTTTACCAAGGCTCAAAATATTCTGATAGAAGATCTAAATCATATTTTAATTAAATCCAAAAATATATTTAGGCCTCCCTCTAGGACTCAGTTGGTAAATGCCAAGTGTGGAACCTAGCCACACAGTCCAGAGAAGTTCCAGGTTTGTTAATGTTGGCTGAGTGGAGGACGGGGCAATGCATGACTCAGTACCTTGGGGGTGGCGAAATCATCCAATTTTCACTTAGTTCTATCCAGTGATGTTAAGGGTTTCACATACGTGTGGAAATTTTCACTTTGGCAGGTATGGAATGTGAACTCTCTCCCTGGAGGGGTGCACTTTGTTTATCTAATCCCAAGAGTTGTCACAGTTTAACAAGAACCACCAAGGCTTGCGGACCCCAGAGTGTCAAATGAGGTTCTGCTAGAGTTTAACCAGTTTGTAATTGTGAACATTGATAAGTTTCCCACCTCTTGCCCAGCTAGGAGTGGAGGACGGAGCAATGCATGACATATACAAATATGCCAACCACACAGTCACATACCAACCACACAGTCCATCCACTGCCTTTTAGGACTTTGGCTTGCAGGGGTAACAGGAGCCAGGTAGCAAGAATTCCTGCTCCTGTTCACTTGTTGCCCTCCAAGTCCTGCTAAGAAACCAGGCTGACTGGTGCATCATCAATGTCTTGTAGTACTGCGATCCTAGCTCAGGAACTATCAAAATTGCCACAGACTTGATTCTGATATTTCATTGCCGTATATGTCTCAGCTCCGAAGAGACTCGCTTACCCTACCTTCCCCCGACACTCTCTTATTCCTCCCCCCTCCCCAACGCAAGGATGACAATCAGTAAGTTGTCATTAAGACATCTGACAAGCTGGGGCTAGCCAGTACTCCAGTGCAAGTCAAAGGATGAAATTACTTTACTCAAGTCTGAATCTATTAAAATGTTTCTGTTTCCAAGACTGTGTGGTTGGTATATTTGTGCTAGCTTGGTGCATTACTTAACATAAATCTTTCACACTTAACCTCAGAATTAATAAAGAATCAAGAACTTAAATGATTCCTACCTTTTCAAAGCGACGCTTACTCTGCTTCTGTGGTTCGATGTGTTTGTGGTTATGACTTGCCAAAGCACCACTATACAAAGAAGAAAAGGAAATGAAGTCAAGTCGAGAGAGCTGTCGATTATTCCAGGGCTGTGCTGGCAGTATGACTCAGAAAGCCCAGTGCTGGGTAGCTGTAAACTACAAGCAGGATTCTAAGCTATCAAGTGTCTGCTTAGGAGCAGGGATAGCAATGAGCCAAACCATACATATTTATTCTTTTTTTTAAAAAGTAAAATGATGTGGCAGGGGCGGTGCTACGTGTTGTTTAATTCTCTACGTGTTTAGTTGATTTTGGTTTAAGTGCTGGTGCAATTTTCTTCTAATTATGTAAGATTGACGAGATTAAAAAGGAATTTCCTGTTTTTTTCCACTCATTCCTCCCTACTTTTTGTGGTTTCTCCACTTCCAGTTCCATCCTAGCTTCTTGAAATCTCAACTCATACGGTGTGGGCTCGGTCAGCGAACCCAAGTGGCCGTTCTTTGCAATTGAGGACAGACTGCTCAACGTGGGGTCAAAGTCTTCTGAATTGTTAACCGAGTCCTTAACTTCACAGTCATAAAAATTTTGTTCCTTTTTTGAATAGCTAATGTGGAAGATTTCCACTTACTTAATGTCAGTCTCTACAATTTTTTTTGCTTAAGAGTATCCAAACTAAGCTGAGATTTCCATGCATCCCACCTACACATGGAAGTCGCAGAGATAGATTGATGAATGTGCACTCTCTCCCTGGAGGGACGCCTCCTGCTTACCTAATTCAGGAAAGTATTAGGTGCAGGTTGGCAAGAGCCAACCTGTGCCTAATACTTTCTTTCTCTACAAGAGAAGGAAAATGCAGGTGGAGTACTTTTTATTTGAACTGATTCTTCGCACATATCCAGTAATGTTTAAAAATATCTTGCCTTGTAAGAAAGATGCTGCTTTCTGTGTTATCTTCTGTTCGGGAGGAGATGAGTCTGGATTGGGTCTCTCCACAGTAGGCTGTTCAGCTAGCATCAGCTATAGGAGTATTAGCAAATGGCAAGAGAGAACTTCCTCCAGATCAGCGTCCTGCTTTGTCTTGAGATGTCCATCAGGAGGTTTGGAGTTGGGAAAATTTTGAACAGCCAGGCTCCTTGGCTCATTGCCTCTGATCAGCTTCCAGGAAAGGGAAGAATGTGTGCAGCATCAGCTGAGCAGCTCCTATCATGGAGCGTGAAGCAATATTGGGCACTGTGCCAGAAATAAAATCCATTTCTCCCACTCACAGGAACTTGGCACAGGTTAAAGAAGCTTAAAGACACTTGAGCTGGGGGAAGCTTTTTTGCCAGCTTCTATATTAGACCCTTTAACAGAATCAGAAAGTCTGGAATCCAGAGTGCTCTCTCAACAACAACAACTTGCATTTATATGGCGCTCTTCAAGCAGTGTCGTGTCTTGGAGCCCTCTCCATTGAAGCACAACTATAGTAAAGTTAGCACAAGTCTTATCTTCATAAATTGTACACTCAGGCTGAACTGGCTCCAAGGTGACATGTTTAGCAACAGAATATCAGAATAAAGCCCACCCTCAGTTCTCATTAATCCAGTTCCTGAGCCAGACGGATGCACAGTACTCAAGGGCAATACTGATGTAATTTTTTTATATGACAGCACATCATATAGCTCATCGGCAGGACTTGCGAGGGCAGACCGGCCACTTGGGGCATGGACTCTCCCCACTCAGCTCTTGTTAAAACCTGCAACCCAAAGCCTTAATGGGTAGGGTGGTCTTAGCTGAATAAACAACAACAACAAAATTACATTTGTTTGGCGCGTTTCATGTCGGGTGGATGTCCCAAGGCGCTGGACAGACAGAGTTTTGGACCCGAGCTGGGGGTTGGGATTGGGGAGGGTGGAGGGCAGGGGGGAAAGCACAGTTGAAGAGGACAGTCTTGAGATGGGTTTTGATGGAGGCAAGGGAGGGGGCGAGGTGGAGGGACTGCGGGATGGAGTTCAGAGGGTGGGGGCAGAGTGGCAGAAGGCCCATCCGCCAATAGTGGGGCGAGCGAGGTGGGGGATGTGAAGCAGGCCGGAGCCCGCTGAGCGGAGGGAGCGAGCAGGATGGTAAAGGGTTAGGAGGTCACAGAGGTAGGCGGGAGCAAGACCATGGAGGGCTTTGAAGGTGAGGACCAGGATCTTGAACTGTATCCTTTGTGTGATGGGAAGCCAGTGGAGTCACGTGAGGATAGGGGTGATAGGATCATGGAGCCCAGTGCGGGAGAGGACATGGGCTGCAGAGTTCTGGATGATCTGCAGCTTGTGGAGGGAGGAGTTGGGTAGGGTAACAAGCAATGAGTTTGCGTAGTCAAGCCTCGATGTAATGAAAGCATGTATGAGGGTTTCGGTGGCCTGTGGTGTGAGTCAGTGGCGGAGCCGGGTGATGCTGCGGAGGTGGGGGAAGGCAGAACGAGTCATGACGCAGATGTGGAATACAAAGGATAGTTGAGGGTCAAAGAAGACCCCAAGGTTGCGGACTGGCTTAGCAAAGTGGAGTGTGTAACCATGGACGGTGATGCTGTCAGTACCTGAGGTCAAGAGCCAATCAGGAGAGCCTCGGTCTTGTTGACGTTCAACTGAAGAAAGTTAGCTCTCATCCAGGACTTGATGTCTGACAGACATTCTGTCAGGACAGCAGTGGTCCTGGAGTCAAGGGTGGAGCAGAGAGGAATAGTTGGGTGTCATCCACATACAGTGGAAATTGACATCACGTCTGCGGATGCTGTCACCAAGAGGGAACTATAGATATTGAAGAAGATGGGACCAAGGACAAAGCTTTGAGGAACGCCGCACAAAACGGTGCAGAGCCTAGAGGAGAAACCGTTTATGGGGATGAAGTGGAGGTGGTGTGAGAGGTGCGATCTGAACCAGTCAAGGACAGAGTCGTAAAGGTTGAGGTGAGAGGAGAGGCGGTGGATGAGGATAGAATGGTCGACGGTTTCGAAGGCAGCAGAGAGATCAAGGAGGACGAGGAGGCAGAGAGAGCCCTGATCGCAGATGGTCAAAATGTCACTTGTCACTTGGACCAAAGCTGTTTCTGTGGTGTGGGCAGCACGGAAACCAAATTGGAGGGAAGGGAGTGGCGGGAGAGGAAGGAGAAAGCTGGGAAGCAACAACTTGTTCCAGATAAAGATCGGGAAAGCTTGCCAGACAATGCAGTTTTAGCTGATTAAACTCCAGCAGTACCGCAATGCACACTCTTGAGATCCCCAAACCTTGGCTCTTGCCAATTAGGTACCCAGGATGAGAGAGTGCACATTCCATGTGTAAGTGGGATGCATGGAATTCTATTTGGTTCGGATATTCTTAAGCATGGTTTCCACATGTGTGATACCCGGCTGACCCCCCAAAAATTGATAACACTGGAACACCACCCATGCTGTGCAGCTGAAGCGGTTACCTTTTCAATACTAATACTATAATTTCTCAACCTTTGTGTTTGTTGCCAAAGAGCTGTGTAATGGCACAGACACATTTCTGTACCAGGACATTGTGCCACAAAGTAGCAGGACATGAATTCAGCTTCCTGATCACTACTATTCTGTCAGGAAGAGTTGCGCAGTGCAGGAAAGGCATTTGTTCCACAGCAGATGAAGGAAAATGTAGAGCACCAGTTACGCAGAGAGAGAGAGAGAGAGAGAGAAAGATGATTTTTAAAATAAGGCAGAATTGTTATAAAATGCTCCGTTTTACCAGTGACCTCAGTCATTAATGCTACATTTCGTATTAGATTATTCATTTATAGTGCTACAGATTTGATTTCCACCAGCCTGTAGTGTGCTGAAATTAAACCTGTTTTTCTATCAGAGTTTTAGAGAACGTTTGAATTAACAGACACATTCTCACGTTTTTATCAGACTGCAAATCGAGGAATCATCCAAACCGGTCCGTCTCTCCCAACAACTGGCCAAAGCTGTAACGACAAATTATAAACCTGTCGCAAACCATCAGTACAACGTAAGTTTGTTTACCAGAATGATATCCGAATATGTGTACAACAACAGCAAAATTAAATTTTGTAAAGCGCTTTTCACGTCGGGAGGATGTCCCGAGGCACTGAATAGTCAGGGATCAGGACCCTGACTACATGTACACCATGGATTGCACCCATAACAACAAATTGAAGTCTTTGCTATCAGAGCTGCTTTTCTACCCGACTCTCAGACCTTGATATGCTGGCTTGGGCCGGGGTTAGTATTCTCACCTGTGTGGTTGTTGTCTGGAACAGTTTGTCTGTTTCACCTTTGCTAGACTGAGCTGGGGCATCTTCTGGGAACATAAGAGACTGGGAGGGATCATTCAAGCAAGCGTTCTATTGGACTAATTAATTACCAGTGGTTGACTATGTCTCTCAAGCTATTTGTGAGCAGGATCTTTCTAAATAGGAAATTGCGAAATTGAAAGTGGAGAAAATGGGAAATGAATTACTGAAAGAACATTTCAGAAATTTATAATTTGCCTCAGATATGAACAAGACCAGTTAGCGTACAATAGGCCACATAATGCAATAACTAATTCCACTTTTAAATTGCGGTTCTGGAGGCTCGGAATGTGGCAAACTGGAGGTGACATTGCCACATTTCCAGCCTTCGATTCTCTTGCATTGCCTTCACATTTCTAGAGGGTGAATGAAGCAAAGTTACAGTTTGAGCAGGAGAAAGGCTTGGGAGCAAGGTTGCCTGATACTCAAGTATATCTCCTTGCTATGCTGCCATTACTTTGTTAGGGCAAATATATTAAAAAAANCACATTGCACACTTATACAATGATGTCAAGTTTTGGTGTACGCGTGGAATATTGTTGGGTTTAATTGCTTTGATTACTTCCTTTTCATTGCAAAGTTGGATCTCCTCTGTGGAGAGGTAATGAACATCCTTCTCTAAATATGCTTCTCCCAAATTTGGTACAACTGGCCATTTTTTATAAGGTGCTTCCAGAGATGAACGTGCTACTGGAGGTAAACTCAATGTAAAAGCAGCTTTAACGAAAGGGGAAGTGCTATTACATTATTGTTTCTTAATTGTATTATTAATCAATGTACACTTATTCATACATTGCTGTTCAGCTCAACTTTCTAATTGAGATGTTAAGTATCTTAGGTACTTGAATGTATTGCATTCAGATGGCCTACACTTTGAGGGGTGAAAGGAATCCTGTTAGTGGCAGATTCAAGATTTCAGAGGAGGAACTAGCTATGTGCCAGTGAGACGAAATAACAGGAAGATGAGTCATCTGGGCTGCTGTTGCACACCTAGGAGCCAGTTGCGGAGAGGTATTGGTGGAGGCCTGATAGGTTCACTTACTTACCTTCCTGGCTGGGGAATGATGGATAGTGAAAAATTCCAAAAAGACGCAAACAAAGCAATATGGTGAGGAGAGTTGGGTTGTTAAAGGTCCTGAGCACAAACTGTTGGGCTTTGTTTTGTTTTTCTTTGCCTGTTGAGTTCCTGAGCAAAGGGTTAGGCAGGAAACTTTCTCCTGGAGCTGACCTATAACTAATTGTGAGCTAAGTGCTAGAAGGTGTACAAGAGCTTATTATTTATTGCAATAATAATAATGCTTGTGTTTGGTATTGTGTCTTTCATGTAAAGAGGATGTCTCAAAGCAGTTAACAGGATTACTGTAAAATGTAGTAGTTGCTGTGTGTTTGTAGGAGAAAGCAGAAGTCCAATTCGCACAGCGATGTCCAGTAAACAGCCATGAAATTAATGACCAATTTTATTTGGGGGATTTGTTGGCCAGGCAACAATGCCCTGAGATCTTTAACATCTACTTGAATAGGGCCTCAGTTTAATATCTCTTCTGAAGGATGCACCTCCGACAATGCAACGCATCCTCACCCCTGCATTGGAATGTCAGCCTAGACTATGTGAGTTTAAGTCCTGATGTGGAGCTTGAATCCACAATCGTCTGACTTCAAGGAGAGTGCTGCCAACTGAGCCAGGCAGACACATGAGATGTTTGAGGGGGAACCTGACAGGTGTTTAAAATTATGAAAGGATTCGATGGCAGAGGATAATGGTTTGTTTCCACTTGTTGGTGTATTCCAAAGCAAGGGAGATAGCAAGAGCCAGTAGTCGATCTAAAAGGGAATTTAGCAATAACTTCTGCAAAGAGGGTGGTGAGAATGTGGAACTCATTGCCAGAAGCTAAAGTTTAAGCTGTAAGCATCAACACCTTTAAGATGAAACATGTGCATGCATGAGGGAGAAAGGAATAGAGGGCTGGAGGCTTGTGGTGAGTATAAACACTGGCATCGACTAGCTGGGCCGAATGACCTGTAATACTCTTTGTAACAAATGTTTCCACAAATTAAGAAAAATATTGCTGCAGGATTCCTTGAAATGTTTCATGTCAAATGTTAGGATTAACTAATATATTTATTATATTTACATATATAGTATTTACTAATATTGTGATATGAACTAGATTGAATATGAGAGGAAGAAGAAGGAAGATGGAAAACGTGCTCGGGCTGAGAAACAACAAGTACTGGATATGCTGTTTTCAGCATTTGAGAAGCACCAGTATTACAACATTAAGGATTTAGTGGACATAACCAAACAGCCAGTTGTAAGTAAATCATACAAATATTGTGCAGCTCTAAATGGACGAATGCCACCTGCTGGATTTAAAGTTTTTTTTTACAGTTTTAAATTATCCATCTTTCATTATTAATGATTTAATGGCCTGTAATACTCTTTGTAACAAATGTTTCCACACAATTAAGAAAAATATTGCTGCAGGATTCCTTGAAATGTTTCATGTCAAATGTTAGGATTAACTAATATATTTACATGTACAGTATTTACTAATATGATAAAAACTAGGAAATGTATTCTTTTAGAAAATATGCCATGTTTAGTACACTATTAGACATAAAGAATTTTATCTGTACCTATGGATTTTCCATTCAAGTATTTAAATCATTTAAGTTAAATGGTAGGAATATACAACTTTTTCTCTAAATGAACAGTGGTTGTAATGTAAAATATGGGACTTTCTGGTACAGAAATTATGTTTTAAAGCCTGCTTTTTACTCCAATCACAGACTTACCTGAAGGAGATTTTGAGAGAGATTGGCATCTACAATGTGAAAGGGACCCATAAAAATACATGGGAGTTGAAGCCAGAGTATCGACATTACCAGAGTGAAGACAAGAGTGAATAGATGAACATGAGACTATGGATAACGCCAAGCTAATGGATATATTCCCATTAAGTAAAAATGTACAACGAGTTTCTACCAAGAAAAGACTGGGGGCTGGATTATGATAAAATGTGAGTCTATTGTGGTGTTTGATTATTACCCCCGTCCCTTCTCAAAAATATTTTATAAGAAGGCAATGTATTTTTAAGTTAATAGGGAAAGCATCCATATCTGGTGTATGTTTTTACTTGAATCAAGAAAATGCTTTGTATCTTTCAAGTATTTTGATGTAGAGTGTTAATAAAGGGGAGCACATTTGTACTGACAATAAAGTATTGTGCTGAATGAAGTTTTTTCTACTTTGGGGTAACATTTTGTTTGTACATTCGACGAGGTTCTCAGATACTTCCTGTCAGGGCTACATCAAAATACAGGAAATGTGACAAGTGCCAATTAGACCAAGTGATGCACAGTAGTCAGTATATGTTTTTTCTTTGACCAGCTGGGTGTCCTGATATATGGAATCCCATTGCTACGCTTGATATCCAATCAGATGGGGTTCTGCATATATATATATATATATATATATATACTACCTAGGCATGAAAATGTCCCTTTTTTCTGCACGAGAGATTGTGCTCTCTACCTGGAGACACTCTTACCTTTTCTATTTTCATAGTTTTAGGTGTAGATTGTAGAAGCCAGGGCTCAACACAACCCAAAATGTGTATTGGAGTACTGCTGGAATTCCATCAGCTAAATCTGCATAATATATCATTTACAAGCACTATCTGGGAAGCTTCCCTGCTGCTTGACCAGCTAAGGCCACCTGACCCTTTAGGGCAGAAGCTGAATGGGAAGAATCTCTGCTCCCAATGTAGCCTGTCTGAAGCTTGGCAAAGCACCAGCAGGTGAGGGCCCCTTTCAAATAAACTCAGTCCAGTCACCCCACTTCCCCTGCATGAATGACCCTCCTCCCACGGCTTCTTGCATCTGAAGGACACGTCCCCTATGCTTTTGGGCCATGACCTGTCAAATACATATCTTTCCGCCCAACCATCCCAGTGTGTAATATCCCTCTAATATTCAGAACAAAGTGTCAACCTTGTTCAGTTGGTAGAACTCACCTGTGGGTCGGAAGATTGTGGATTCAAGCTCCGCATTGGGAGTTCAGTCTAGGTTGACACACTCCAGTGAAGTGCTCGGGGAACATTGCATTGTCAGAAATGCAGTCCTTCAAATGAGGCATTAATCCATAATCCTGTCTGCCTATAAAGATCCTTTGGTACTATTTGAAGAGAAGTTACCCCTGGTGACTTGATCACTAATCTCCCAGTTAAATGCTTTCATTCACTTCATGCCATTTATCACATTGCTGTGCACAAACTGGTTGTAATTTGTTCAGTCAGAATTTTATATTCATGCCTATGTGGTGAATATATAATCATTAGATAACTCACTGCAGAAAAGATGTGGCACTGGTGGTTGCTGAAGACTATTTCCAAATATTGTATCCCAAAGTAGTCCAATATAGTTTATAATTTATAAATTAATGAGTCGTGTAGCTCAATGGTTAGAGCACTCGCCTTGCAAGCAAGAGACCTGGGTTTGATTTCCAGGACGAAACATTGGGCAAGTTTCCTTACTCCACACATCTCCGTTTACCAGGCAGTAAGTAGGAACCCAGATGTTAGTTGATTGGCGCATCACTTTTCTGGGGGTTAAAAACCATTCGTGGGATACTGCTATGCGCAATTGGCTGCTGTGTTTGGCCCACAAAATATACAGACACTTTACAGACGTGATAAGGTACTATATCAAATGCAAAGATTATTGTAAATTAGATTATATCCTGTGAAGTGCTTTGATATATCTTGATGTGATAAAGCACTACATCAACTTCAAGGATTATTATTAACAACTGCTGCAGAGTAGGTACAATTTTACTCAGTCTGTACTGATGACCCAGCGCATAGACATCATTCATCTGATAATTGATAAAAGTCAGCATCCAATGTCATTGGTTCAATTTCCAAGCTGAATTATCTGAGCTCAGTGCTATTGTGTCAAGCAGATGAATATATACAGGATAGTATTCTACTGGCTTTAGCAGTGGGGAGAAAAGTGAAAAAAATCCTGCAATAGTTAGGAAACCTGAATTGTCACATTCCTACTTGTAATATTGTAGCATTGTTCATTTTGCAGGAAGCAGGCAATGTTTTATTTCTGTTAATGGTAAGGTCTCACATTAGTTGTAGGCTTTTTAAAAAAGGACATTTATTCCAAAAAGGTAATATTTCACTTTTTTACTAACCAAAAGCCAAAAATTAATACATTTAATCTATTAGCTCTACTCAGTGGATATATATAATACACAAAAACAAAATTACATTTGTATAGTGCCTTTCATGTCGGGAGGACGTCCCAAGGCGCTGGACAGACAGTTATGGAGGGGGGAGGAAGCAGGGAGATCAAAAGCATGGTCGAAGAGGTGGGTCTTGAAGGTGGCAAGGAAGGGGGCGAGACGGAGGCACTGCGGGATGGAGTTCCAGAGTGTGGATACAGAGTGGAGGAAGACCCGCCTGCCAATAGTTGGGTGAGCGAAGTGGGGAATGTGAAGCAGGCCGGAGCCCGTTGAGCAGAGGGAGCGAACAGGGTGATAGGGGTTAGGAGGTCAGAGAGGTAGAGGGGAGCAAGACTGTGGAATGCTTTGAAGGTGAGGACAAGGACCTTGAATTGTATCCTCTGTGTGATAATAATATGGAACAAGTCCATATACATTAATTCAGTTAAACTATTCAGAAAATACACTTATATTGCTCCTTTCACACAGGACGATGTTTCCCCAAAGAATTCTGGATTGCCAACCAAAGAGGGGGAAGTTTGAACCAGAACTGCAGAGCTCAAAGATAGGCTTTTAAAGGTGGTTTTGAACAGGAGTGAAGGAACAGGGTGAACAACAATAACAAGATTGCATTTATAGAGCGTCTTTCACGTCGGGAGGACGTCGCAAGGTGCAGGACAGTTGGGTTGGGACCCGAGCAGGGGGGGAAATGGTCAGGGTGAAGAGATTATGGAAGCATGTGCAGGGGCTCTGGATAAAAGGGTCAGAATGAATGAATTATTATTTGCATGCATTATGGTCACAAGTTTTTTTTAAAGTATATTAATGGGATCTGATCATTTGAAAAATATAAATAGCATCATACCGTGTTCAAAATTATGAGGGGATTCAATAGGGTGAACAGGGAGAAACTGTTTCCACTGGCAGTAACTGGTCGGTAACCAGAGGACAGATTTAAAATAGTTGCCAAATGAACCAGAGGGGATGTGAGAAATTTATTCACACTGCACGTTGTTTGGATCTGGAATACATTGCCTGAAAGGGTGGTGAAAGCAGATTCTTTAAGAGCTTTCAAGCGAGAAGTGGATAGATAGCTGGGGAGGCCAAATTTGGCTATCGGGAAAGATCGGGAGTAATTTGGATGGATCTTTCTGAGCCAGCACCACACGGCGGGCCGTGTTGTATAATTTTATGATATACACCAAAACTACATAATTAGTGAAAGGCTTAGCAACCATTTTTGTAGGCAAGCATAGCAGCAGCATAGCAGCAATATTTCATAACCAGCCATGAGCTGAGTTAGAATGCATCAGTATACCAGCTTACTACATTTTATTCCATTTCTGTCAGCAGTAGCCACTGGCTCACAGGCACACGTGCACCTCTCTGGCTGTACAAAGCACAAGAGGATTAGAATCACACCACTATTTGTTCAGGAGACTGGATTATAATGGATAAAAACCTTTGCTGGTGCTCAGCATTATGAGTCAGCAATCACGCCAAAGAGAATTCTACAAGACAAATTTGCTATGAACTGCCCTTTAAAGGAAAATGAATCAAATAACCCTTTCAACAGTTTGGAATATAGTGCTCTTTGAGCCCAATGCAAAAAAAAACATTTGTAGTTTCATTCCCCACCCAATGGTCCAAATCTAGTTCTTTTCAAATAACGTAGCTTGTTCAATACTACTCCCAAGAACTGCATTCCAATGTGTAGGTTTTCACCCAGAAGTCAAGATTGTTTTTTTTTAAAAAACAAGTTTGCCAAATGAAAGCAAAATTAAATTGATAGGATAAGTAGACCGGCAAAATCCATTAGTTACATATTCATTTTTTGTATTCTGTACTCCCATTTATAAAGTCTAGTATCTTGTATGCTTTTTTTAAAAAAAACAGCTTTATCTTCCCGTCCTGCCACCTTCAAAAATGTACTTATATGAACTCTGTTCTGGCACACCCTTTAAGATTGTATAATCTAGCTTTTATTGCCTCTCCTCATTCTTCCTCCCAAAATGCATCAATTCACATTTCTCCACATTAAACTTCATCTATCAAGTGTCTGCCCATTTTACCAGTTTGTCTATGTCCATTTGCAGTCTGCCACTATCCTCCTCACTGTTTACTACTTTTCCTAGCTTAGTATCACCTGCAAACTTGGAAACTGTACTCCCCATACCCAATTCAAGGTAATTTATATAGATCAAAAAGAGCAACGATCCCAATACCTACCCCTGGGGGACACCATTGCACATTTCCCTCAAGACAGAAAAACAACCGTTCACCACAACTCTGCTTTCTGTCCCCCAGTCAGTTCTGTATCCACGTTGTCACTGTCACTTTAATAACATGGGCTTCTATTTTGCTTACAAGTCTTTTTGCGTACAAGATGGTATACTAATACATTATTATTTATATTATATTTATATATACCTATTTATATATAAAGATTCCATGGTATTAATTGAAAAGGAGTTTCTTCTGGTGTCCTGGTCAACATTTCCCAACTTATGACTGGTTATGGAATTTTGCTATGCTGCTACTACACCTCCCTACAAAAATAGTTGCTATCCTTTGCTAATTACTTGTGTGGTTTTGATACAAGTTTCTATTTTCATTTTCAAATGATCAGATTCCAATAATGTACTTAAAACATTTTTTGTAAAAAACATCCTGGAACTACACACAAGCACCATTAGAAATATATTTTCACCCACAAAATACAGTCAATTCACTTTACAGTATATTCTGTGAAGCGCTTTGAGATATCTCAAAGACATAAGGCACTATATCAAATGCAAGGATTATTATTATAACAACAAATGAACAGACAATAGTGGCTATTTCACATCAATCTCTAAGTACTTAGTTGAAAGAATGTGGCCAACAAAGAATATAGACAACATTTTGTGGGGAAAGGATGCATCAGATCCAATTTATTGATACAACATCACATTGTATAACTTCCATGATGTACAGCATTGCATACTTCCAGATGTACATGTCCAAAGCCGATGTTCTTGTGCTAGACCTTACTGCCTGGGTTATCAATGCAAATCAAACAGGCATTTGTGGGGAGGTTAATACACGTTATTACAATTTGATGATTTTTAAACAAGGCCTCGAATTCCAATAATGAAATCAGCTTAAAATTATACTAGTCCAATTTTACTCAGGTAAGTGAAGGTGAGCAGCAGGCCATCAGCGTCGATGAATTCAACATGATAAAACTGCAGAAGTGCAGCAGATTTACTGGAAAACAAACAAACCCAAGATTAGTATTCACATCCCAGATATTTTGCACTACAAAAGCACACAGTACTGCCATATTTGTGTTCCATGATTCATGCATCTATAAAAAAAATGTTTATCCCATATTCAATCTGAAGTGCTACAGAGAAATCAGGTAGAAAATGGAAGGAGTTTTTCTTGCATCTAAATGCAAACCACAAAGTCACAGTTTGGCTTCAGGTCTATCAGTAGATGCACCTATACAGAACTTAAAAATCAACTGTGCAACATCAAGATTTAGTGCAACACTTTCCAAATGTCTCCAAGTATCAGCCTGCGTAAACAGCAAACCTAAGCAAAGCAAACCCAGCATTGAAATATAGGGCGATACTACTATAAGGCACTTCACTAGAGCACACGTTTGCTCGCAAGTCATTCCTTACAACTGTAGTACACTTCTGGCTTAGAGCAGACAGACTGGGTTCCTGCAGGCGCTTGCTGGCCAACCTGTAACAGGGAACAACAATGGTGAACTGGGCCTTATTTTTCCCCAGATGGGATGTCTAATTTTACAACCCCAAATACCATTTTATAGCAAGATCACTGTGTAAATGTGATGCCTTCCAAGTATACAAATGTAATGCAAAACAGAATATATGACAGTTAAAAGTGCATAACATCAATTGCTACTCAGATCAAGTACTCTGTTCATAAAGAGAACAAGGGATAAACCAGGTAACTATAGATCAGTCAGCCAGTAAGATTTGGAGGGAGAAAACTTTTAGAAGGCTGGATAACATTAATATCCAGTGAGGGTTGAGGTCTGCACAATGGAGTATAGAGAGGCAACCATGGGTACAATAGAAAAGGCAGGTTTGTAAGGAGCTGGGATTTGTTCTTGCAGTCAAGAATGATCAGGCCACATCAAGGTACATAATTTCCAGCAATCACATATTCCCTTGAGGAATAAAAATACCACAGGATAAGTGGTTCAACCATGGCTAACTAGAGCAGTTAGGGAAAGTATAAAATTAAAAGAAGAGACCTGTAATACTGCCAAAATGAGCAGTAAGCCTGAGGATTGGGAGGGCTTCGGAGACCAACAAAGAAAAACTAAGAAACTGATTAGGAGGGAGAAAATGGATTATGAAGGCAAACTAGCTAGGAACATAGAGACAGATTGCAAGAGTTTTTACAAATACATAAAGAGGAAGAGACTTATCAAAAGTGAGTGTGTGTCCATTACAGGCAGAGACAGGAGGAAATTATAATGGGGGATAAGGATATGGCAAAGTCATTGAACAAATACTTTGCTTCTGTCTTTACATTAGAAGACACTGAAAATTTACCAAAAAAGGAGGAACCAAGAACCTAATGATAATGAGAAACTTAGGGAAATTAACATCAATAAAGAATTAGTACTTGGGAAACTTGGGATTGAAAAATGACAAATCCCCAGGACCTGATGGCCTGCATCCTAGGGTTTTTATAGAGGTGGCTGCTGAGATAGTGGATGCCTTGATTTGATCTTCCAAAATTCTCTGGATTCTGGGACGATTCCCATTGATTGGAAGATCGCAAACGTAACACCACTATTTAAGAAGGGTGGGAGAGAGAAGATGGGGAACTATAGACCAGTCAGTCTGACATCAGTGGTAGGGAAAATTCTAGAATCCTTAATTAGGGATGTTGTTAGTGGGGTACTGAGAAGACCATAACATGATTAGGCAGAGTCAACATGGCTTTACAAAAGGGAAGTCATGCTTAAAAAATCTTTTAGAGTTCTTTGAGGATGTAACTAGCAGGTTAGATAGGGTGGAACCAGTAGATGTAGTGTATTTAGATTTTCAGAAGGCATTCAACAAGGTGCCACATAAAAAGCTGCTACACAAGATTAGGGCCCATGGAATTAAAGGCGATATATTAGCATGGATCGAAGAGTGGCTAACGGAAAGAAAACAGAGAGTAGGGATAAACGGGTCCTTCTCAGATTGGCAAGATGTGTCCAGTGGAGCGCCACAAGGATCAGTGCTTGGGCCTCAACGATTTACAATCTATATCAATAATCTAGACGAGGACATGGAACTTAAAATATCTAAATTCGCGGACGATACTAAGCTAGGTGGGGCTATGTGAAGTTATTCACCTAGGTAGTAAAAACAAAAAAGCAGATTATTTTCTAGAGGGGGAGAGGCTGGATAGTGTTAGTGTTCAGAGGGACTTTGGTGCCTTGTATACCAGTCACAAAACATTAGTATGCAGGGACAGCAAGCAACTAGGAAGGCTAATGATATGTTGGCGTTTATTGCAAAAGGGTCAGAATACAAGAGTAGGAAAGCCTTGCTGCAACTGTATGTGGAGACCGTACCTTGAATATTGTGTACAGTTTTAGTCTCCTTATTTAAGAAAGGACATCTTAGAGGGGGTGCAGCATAGATTCACTAGGTTAGTTCCTGGGATGAGGGGGTTGACCTATGAGGATAGGTTGAATAAACTAGGCCTATATTCTTTAGAATATAGAAGAATTAGGGGTGATCTTATGGAAACATAAGATTCTTATGGGGCTTGACAGAGTAGACAGTGTGAGACTGTTTCCCCTGGTAGCAGTCACAGTCGATATAACTAGGGGTCACAGTCTTAAGATTCAGGGTCAGCCTTTTCGAATAGAGTTGAGGAAACACTTCTTCACTCAGAGGGTAGTGAATTTGTCGAAGGCTGTAGGTGCTCAGTCCTTGAACATATTCAAGACTGAGATTGATAGATTTCTGAGTATTAGGGATTAAGGGTTTGAGGATAAGGCGGGCAGATGGAGTTAGGTTAGAAGATCACTCATGATCTTATTGAATGGCAGGGCAGGCTTGAGGGGTCGAATGGCCTACTCCTGCTCCTAATTCTCATGTTCCTATGGGAGATATCATATTATTTGATGTAGTTGAGAAGATTTGGTAGTGGACCATTAGGGCAGTTTTGTGGTCTCGCAAATTAGGCTGGAGATTTGAGGGAGAATCTGCACAGGGGATTGAGTTTGGTAAAAGGCTTCCAGATTTTGTGATGATGAAGTGCTGTTAATGGCAGTACGGGAGCTATTTAAGAGCTTGATTAAAGGATTGATATTTCTTTAGGCGCTAGCCAAAGGGGAAATTTGGAAGAGGAGTGGTTAGCAATGGGAAGGGGTGAGGAGGAATGCAGCATGCAGAGACAGACTTATCAGAAATATCTAGCACAATGACAAGATCGAGTGTTTTGCATGTGGAAAGTGAAGGAAGGAAGTAGTGGAGTAATGAAATAGGGAAGTCACCCATGATGAGGAGCCACGCGCACAGCCAATAAGGTAGCAGGAAATTTGGGAGGTTGGCAGGTAAAGATCCTAAAGGAATCCAAAAATCTGAGATACAGGGTTCCAGAGGTGAAAGGATAACATGCAAAGCAAATGCACGACTCTCCACAAATTAACTTTTAAACCAAATGCTTTCAGACAGACTGCTACGGTACTTACACATTTTTCCTCCTCCAAACCATCCTTGAAGAATATCATGTATGGAGTAACACCATCTTCACGGAAGTTCAGCAATGCCACCATACCATCTGGATTCATGGACTCTCCTATAAAAANCTAAACCAACATTGCTGGAATGATTCAAGATTCATCATCTTAAAACTAGGCCAATTTAATTCACTGCTATCATTTTCTTACTCCTACCCACCATGAAACTCATTCTAAGATACTCATCCACAGCCAACAATGGCTCTTCAAGAGCAATTCAAGTGACAGTAATAACCTAGTGATCTAACTGTGGTCAGAGTCATGAATTTCACCACCGCTCCCTTTGTGTGAAAGGGAAGTCGAATGTAGCCAGAAATCCCACCTTCATATTACCCAGCTGGGCATCACATATCTGAAAAACCACCACTGTGCTAAGGATATGCAAACCAAAAAGAGTGGAAATTCCTGGGTTTGGAATCGAATCCACACTCACTGAAGGGATGCATCCTATTTACTCAATTTCAGAGCAAATTATGAATAATAATCCTTGCATTTGGTATATCGCCTTTCATATCAGGACATCCCAAAGCTCAACATGTTTACTATAAAGTGGAGTGACTGCATTTCGTAGGCAAAAGCAGCAGCCATTTGCACACAGCAATGTCCCATAAACAGCCTTGAAATGAATGACCAATTTCACTTTGGGGAATGTTGACCAGGACACCAGAATAAACCAGAATAAACTCCTTTCTCTTTTCAAATAATACCGTGGGATCTTTACTTTATATATAAATATGCATATATATATTATAAGTAATAATCTTTGCATTTGATATAGTACTTCCAAGTCCCGACATTGGGCTTGAACCTTCTGACTCAGATGCAAGAGTGCTATCAGCTGAGCCAGGCTGACACATTAATAATATTTACATTTGATAAAGATCCTTTCACGTCAGGAGGATGTCCCGAAGCAAGTCGCAGGTTGGAAAGAGCCAAGGCTTGGGATCACAGTGTTCGCTGGGGTACTGCTGGAGTTCATACAGCCAAAGCTATACGGCTCGTTATTGAAAGCAGTGCCTGGCAAGCTTCTTTATGCTTACCAGAACCACCCTCTTTACTGCTCGGTCTTTGGCTTGCAGGATTAACAGGAACCAAGTGGCAAGAATCCCTGCAACCAGTGGCCGATCTACCACTCAAAACCCTACCAATAAGACAAGACTATCTATGATCAGCAGTGACCTGGAGTACTGCAAGTTCACTGGCTCAGGAATGCCAAAACCTGTATAGAGGGTTGACGCAATTCCTATATTGCATTGCCATGTAACTTCACCTTGGAGCCCAATTGAGATGGAGACTCCAGAGATAATGGTACATAGACCACATATTAAACCAGAAACAAGTTACATCTATACCCAGTATCTTTCACCCACTTGCTACTAACAAAGCAAGAAATAGCTTTGCAGAATTTTCAAGGTCTAGCTGTATTGAAAAGATTCTAATCACCTGATAATTTCTGAAATTGCCTAGGATCTCCTTAACTAGATTTGTAGCACCTGTAGTGAAAGCTTCAACTCTTTCTGGTTTGGACTCTTGAAGTTTCTTTTTCAGTCTATTTTTGGAAACAAAATAAAGGTCACATTAAAAAATTGGCAGGGCACCCCTGAAATGCATATCCACCAACTTCAAACCAGCTCAGTGTGTAAAGCACTCAACTTTGATTTGATAAGTCTAATGACATCTATAGCTCCCCCACCCCCTCCCTTTATTTAAGTAGACACCTTTCCGCAGTCAATTGGGAACAGTTAACAGATGTTAATTAGTCCTACACCACATTTGTGCATTGATGTAGGAATTTTTGCTACGAAGCTGTCAAATCTATACCCATGCAACAGTGAAACTGCACCAATGTCCCACAATCAAATTAAATTAAAATTCAGGAAGAGAAAATGGAAAAATGAGAAAATGGAAAGCAGAGTACAACAACTTGCATTTATATAGCACCCTTCACGTAGGATAACGTTGAGAAGGATGGAATGGTCCAGTGTCAAAAGTAGTAGAGAGGTTGGGAAGGACATGTTGCAGAGGGAGCCTGGGTTACAGAGAGAGAACATGTCACTGGTGATGAAGTTTGGATTAGACTAGCAGTGAATACCCGCACATGGAGTGTGGAGGTTTACATCAGGCACCATGCTGCCATAGCTTCAGGTTTTCTTTTTGTGGCTCTTTGGGCAGTAATATGGAGACAGTACCTTGAAGCTAAGCTTTCTCTATTGCCTATTGTTTTGGGAGTGGAAAAAAAACATGTGGATGGGGGGGGGGGGGGGAGAAAGAGGAGAAAGGCAAAAGGTAAAGGGGTCCAACCTAGTTGAAATATTGATGCAGATGAAATTAACTCTACTGAATTAGTGATACTGGCTCCACAACAAGGCAATTTGTGTGGCAGGACTGAATTCACGCTTGGATCAGTTTCGAGTATATCCTGGTCAAAGCACAAAATACTGCAGATGTTGAAAATCTGAAACAAGACCATAGAGAGCTGGGAAAACTCAGCAGGTCAGGCAGCATCTATGGAGAAAGGAAAGTGAGCCAACATTTTTGGTCCACGACCGTTCTGACGAAGGGTTGTGGACCCGAAACATTGACTGACTTTCCTTTCTCCATAGATGCTGCCTGACCTGCTGAGTTTTTCCAGCTCTTTGTTTTTGTTTGAGTATCCTGGTAGCTGGTTTCAAAACCAATATTAAGGCAAACCTGCATACCAACCTCCAAGTACAATTTAAAGAAGTACTCAAACATTTCCCCCAGAAACACTAGAGTAAAACAAACTAGAAGTAAATAAAATCACATTTCTTTCAAACATTTACAAGACTTTAGACCAAGGAATTTCCTTCATATTCTTATGTTGGAAGGCAATAAATGTAGGCACTGTCTTAACTTAAAGGTGAAGCTGCAAGACCCGAATGGGTAAAGGAAAGCAATCGGGAAGGAAAAGCTTCCAAGTTTTAATACCATTGTGTTATAGCTGTCAGGTCCAAGGTTCAGATGTCACAAATTCAGTAAATAAGATAACAATACAATGGCTTAACTATCACTTAAATAGCCATGTTATTAATGTCCCGGTCTCTTCCCATGCAGAGTGTAAATAAGGGCCCCGCTTTACCTGTCACACTGCTTAATGCACAACTTGTCACATTCGAGAAAGTACTTGCAATGTAAAGTTGATCAGATAAATCCTATAAGATTAGGACTTCATTGCAGAGGCCCACTCCTGTGACTGCTGCAAACTCTCAGTGGAGGTTGGGCACACATGCTGCTCAGATAAGCATGCACGTCCAACCTCCGCTGTTATGGACCCGACAGATACAAGTTAGAAATTTTACTGTAGTCCTGATATCCCCTTCCCCTAGAGTGACAAGTTATCTGGAGGTTACTGTACTTTTAATGCAAGGCACCTACTCGTACCGCGTGACCCTTGCTGGAAAGTCCACGTGTATTAACATTATAGACAGGCATGATTAAATCTGACTTTTGTCCACCAACCATAGTTAAATAGTTTATTAAAACATCATCCAGACTCATGTATGAATAGCCACTTGAGCAAGGTAACATAATGCCCAGTGTCCAAACAATACCCCCGGTACAAATCTCTGAGGGAGGAAATGGGCATATGAAGTCAGCTGGATTGATCCAGTTCAATAAAATAGCACCCTTTTTAAATTTCTCATTCAACCAAGTATAAAAGAAACTCAAATTTACAACTTACACTTTCATGTATTCTTTGATGTACTGCTTGTATGTATCCTTTATAAATCCTGTTTCTTGAAGATTGTGGTTTAATACAATGTCCACACCAGAAACTGTTGTGGACTCCAACGACTCAATATCGCAAGCTTCAGAAGCAGCATTACCCCCAATCAAACTGTCATCAATATCACCTTCTGTTCTACTGACAATCTTTAAAAAAAAACAAAAGAGTTTGCACAGTACAGGTCAGGTTATCCCCATCCTCTCTACTTGTTTTCTAGTCAAGCAGATTTCCCTGCTCCTCAAGAAATTTTGTCTCTCACTTCTACAATAAGGATGGCAACGCCTTATATGGGGTCTGAATCACAACTGAGTCCAATACTGTTGCGAAATTTCAAGAGATATTGAATGATACTTTCAAAAACAGAAACCTTCCTCAACCCAGGATTTCTGCGGCTATTTAGTGTCTGGACAAAGAGAACACGGGAAAAATCCTAATCACTATTATTCTCCAATGCTGAGTTTTGGACGCTCCGTCGAGGTTCCCCTACCCACTGGGATGAGTTTAGGCTACATTTTTAAGTGACAGAAAATCTGCAGGACTCCTATGCCCTCGGAACAATTCTCACAAACTTGTTAACCAGCAATTATGCGCTTCAAAGTATCCAGCTGGGGGGGGTTACAGCAAGGCCAAGTCGAGCATTAAACCTGCAAGATCAATTGAGCCACAGGGTGGGCAACTTAGTATAACAGCGAGAGGCATCGCTTAAAGCTTTAAAATGAACATTTAAAGCTCTTGACAGCTGGGCGGCAGGGATATGCGAGTTGTCGATTTTTTGCCACCCTTTCCAAGCCTGGAAAGCCAGGTTGAATGGAGCTGGTTATGAAATATCCCGGGTGGGGTAGCATTCGTCATCGGCGGATGTGGCCTGTGGGTTCGTGGCCTGGAGGGAGGGAGGGAGGGAGGGAAGAGGCGATGGAGACGCAGAAGGCAGGGCTAAAATTAGAACCGGATAAGCTTTGAGATAGCGGCTGCTGCTGCTCTGTAAGTCAGGACTTCCTCCTTACTGCCCTCCCCCCCTCCACCCACACACTATATATATATATATCGTTTAACCTCCTCCCCCCCCATCCCCAGCACAGCCCCACCCGTCCCACTGCCCATCTGTCTCCATGGAAACCCCACCCCGGACCTCACCTTCCCTTCCACCTCGTAGTACAGCCCGTTGTGGCATTCTTTGATCTTGTAGATATCCGAGAACAACTCGTCACCTGGTGTGAGGCACAGAGAGAGAGAGAGAGAGAGAGAAAATGGTTGAGAAAATACCGGAATAAAGAGGCTTCGATAACGGTGTGAAACCCTCGCGGGGGATTACAGTCCCTCTCACCCCACCCTCCCCCCCACTGCCAAAGCCTTACTTGGCGGAGCCGAGTCGGGACCAGTCACATCCGGACCGAGCCTTTCCGCCGCCCAGAAGCCGAGGCCTAGTCCTCCGAGGCTTCGGGGAGGGGGGGGGGGGGGGTGCGGGAGATTTTACAAACCTCCAATAACGGTGCCGAAGCGGGGCCGCCCGCCGCCCGCGCACAAATAGCCACCGGGGAGTGGAGGGCGAGGCCGCCGCCGCCGATTCTTACCGGTGACGATGCACTTGTAGATGATCATGGTGGCCGATGGAGTTGGCTCCGCCGCGAGAAGCCGACTCTCGAGTGGATGAGAAAAGGAGGAGAGGAGGAGCTCGCCTTCCGGCGCCGCTTACATAGGCCGCTGTGACGTCAGCGCTGAGTGAGCACCCCGCCGCACGCATTCCGATGACGTAAGACGAAACAGCTGACGGCTGAACAGAGCAAAGCGGTGATGTCCTGTCAACCGCCATCACCATCGCCGCCATCACCATCACCGCCATCGCCACCACCATCATCACCACCGCCATCACCACTGCCATCACCACCACCATCATCACCACCACCACCGCCATCACCACCGCCATCACCATCACCGCCATCACCACCGCCATCATCACCACCACCACCGCCATCACCACCGCCATCACCATCACCGCCATCACCATCACCGCCATCACCACCACCATCACTGCCATCACCACCATCACCACCACCGCCATCACCATCACCGCCACAGCACCTTGCACTTGTCATAGCGCCCTCCGCGCAGGGTTGCTAAGCGTCTCGCAGCGCTTAACTGTGGCGCGCCCCGGGGCCGGGGCCGGGGGTGGGGATGGGTGGGGGGGGAGGTGACCGTAAGTAAGCGACGGTTGAAGAGGAAGGTTTTCAGGCCGGCCTTGAAAAAAAAGGGGAGAAGTGGGGGGGCGACAAGGCGGAGGGATTGAGGGAGAGCGTTCCAGAGTCTCATAGCGCAGTGGCCTGACAGCGCGACCTCCGATCGTGGGGCGGAGGGTGCGAGGGACGAGCAGGAGGCCGGTGCCAGTCCAGCGGAGGCGCCGGGTGGTGGATTGGGGAGCGAGGAGGTCGGAGAGGTAGGGAGGTGCCAGGGAGTGAAGGGATTTGAACACGAGTGAATATCAGCAGACCTGGAGTTTGTACTGGAGGAGGCAAAGTAGATTTGTGTGTCATCCGCATACATGTGGAAGTTTACCCCGTATCTGTGGATGACATCGCCCAGAGAGAGTTTATGGGCTCCAAAGTATCAGTCCAAACAGTCAAAGAAGGGGCAATAAAATCTAGAGGTCTTTGCTATTTTTGATGGTGTAATAATTGTTGCATAACATTTTTTTTGTCAGATTAAAGACCAAGATAGGTTTCTTCAGACTGGTTCAAATGGAACCACTGTTGAACCTCTCCAAGGATGCAGGTACTTGGGCCTTACTCCCTATTTACTCTGTGGGATAGAATAACTAGTTCCATCAAGACAACTGCACATGGAAATAGGATAGAGAAGGTTGATTATGGAAAATTGTTTACATTATGGTGAATGTTTACCTCAACACATTATGGTGGTTAACTCTTGTCTTTTAAAAAAACGTCACAAATAAATACCGCAATACTTAATCAAATCTATGAGGTCAAAGATACCAGCTGAGGTGAGTATTGCAAGGATAATTATTATTTATTATTATCAATTTAAATTGCTGCAATAAGACATAAAAACTACTCTCTTACCACCTCACCTGGCAAATGAAACTTTACCATCACATTAATAAAAGATATTCCCCACATCAATTAATAGAATTCACAGATTGTTAAAAGAACATTCACAATTTAATTGAACAAAGAGTTTGATGCAATGTCACACCCAAAACATCTTTCTTTTTTTAGATGCAGTGCACTATCAGTATTTGGTTTGTGAACAATGAAACTCTCTGGCTATGAATCAACATTGCACTACTCCTGGGGGGGTGGGGAAGGTAAGCGTGGTCTCCTTGGAGCTGAACTGACTCCTCAGTGATATAACGCAAAATACTGCAGATGCTGGAAATCTGCTAGGACTTCTGATTTTGTCCGAGGTGATATGTTTGGCAACGGAATGCCAGAATCGAGCCAGCCTCTGTGTTGGTCCCGGTAGTCCAGTTCCTGAACCAGCGGGTTTGCAGTATTCCAGGGCACTACTAATAACAGTACAACCAGCCTGACTCATCGGCAGGGCTTGGAAGGGCAGACCAATCCCTGGGGGCAGGGAATCCTCCCACTCAACTCCTGTTAAGTCTGCAAGCCAAAGCGCTAACGGATAGGGTGGTCCTAGCTGGACAAGCAGTGGGAAAGCTTGCCAGACAGTTCTATCAAAAGCAAGCTATGCGGTTTTAGCTGGTTAGACTTCAGCAGTACCATAACGCACCCTCTTCGGTCCCCAAGCCTTGGCTCTTGTCACCTGTGCCTAATACTTTCTGGAATTAGGTAAGCAGGATGCATCTCTCCAGGGAGAGATTGCGCATTCCATTCCAAAAATCTATCTCTGGAATATCTATGTGTAGGTGTGATCCATGGATTTCTCAGTTTGGTTTGGATACTCTTAAGCCTGGTATGGGTTGCTGCATGTATCAGATAAAACAAATCAGCACTGCACAACTTTTCACTACTCCCTTTTATCTAGTTCCTGTAATGTGATTATGGTTTGCTTGGTCAGCTAGGTATCTGACACATACAGAAACCCATTATCGTGCTCAAGAATATCCAAATAGTCCATGTGTGTATGCCGCCTACACATTTCTACGTTAACAGTGCCCTGGAGATCCACGGACCCGCCTGGCTCTGGAACCAGAATTTTGAAACTGCCACAGAGGATTGATTTGATTCAGATATTCCATTGTCAAGCATGTCACCTCGGAGCCAACTCATCTCCAAGCAGATCTCTCTTATCTCTATTTTAAAATCTGATGTGCAGGAGTAAATAAATTGCTGTTCGACTCCACAAATTAATACGTTGTGAAAACAACAGAAACAGAGTAGCAGGTGACAATTGCAATAATTGTCGATTGCAATAATTTGGCGTGTAATGTACCATTCCAACGTGCATTTGGATATGATAGGACCATAAGAAAGCCACCAATTACATCAAGTAATTAGTGCTATTACAATTACCATTGGGTGCCCTAATTTGGGGAGGACAACAAAGGTACGTGCTCTGACTATTAATGAATAGTAGTCAGAGGTTGAATCTTTGTGCACTTTTACATTAACTTTATTATAAATGGCTGCTAGCATGTATAGTTTAAGTGTGATTAATTTTTGTTATCTCATAGTTGTGTTTGTTGATATTTATTGTGTTGTTTAAGATTTAATGCCGAGGGTTGTGGATTTCTTTGAAGCTACAATAAAATTCTCTTGAGCCAATTTAACCGTGTTTTCTTGAGCTTTCTGTATAAATCAAAGAAGGAAAGAATACACAAACAGGTTCAGCCTAGGTCACAGAGATGTAAAATAAGTCTCTGATTGACTGAAGCTTCCCAATTTGCTTTAATTTAAATAGCAATTGGTCATACCTGTCGTTGTGCAAGAATTCATTGGTCAAGCTACACCTAGTTATAGGCACTTGCATTCATTAGTGAGTATTGAACACAGAGGCCACCCAGTACACTGAGGGAGCCATAACTTGGGTGTACATATAAGGGTGATAGAACCGTATCAGTATAAAACAGGAATGACCTTGTTACAGCTCCTAGTCTATCCTGAGTTAACTAATCTGCCTTTAGTCCCTCCCTCACCACCTTCAAGACCCACCTCAAGACCCTACTCTTCGACCGTGCTTTTGATCTCCCTGCTTCCCCCTTGCCCTCCCCCCAGCCCTCAGCTCGGGTCCGTAACTCTGTCTGTCCAGTGCCTTGGGACGTCCTCCCGACGTGAAAGGCACAATACAAATATAATTTTGTTGTTGTTGGTTAGTGTTACATGATTTGAGAGCTATCAGCCATCATGCCACGTCCTCTGGAGCAATCTTTTTACCCACAAAAAACAGTTTTGTGCTACACTTTACAGTATATCTTGTGATGTGCTGAGATGTCCTCCTTCCATGGAAGGCAATATATCAAATATAAGAATTACTATTTTTTATTATCTTCCCATACTAATTTTCATTACTTCCTCTCCTACTTTCAAAAAACATCAGAATCAACATCACAGCATATTTCTTATATTGACTGCGCCTTGAAATTCACAGGCCTTCATTTATTATTTGTGCATTCTTATCCAATCACATGCTCTTAATTTTAACTAGTTAACTCAATTCAGAGTGATTTATTTTAATTGGCTTGAGTATTTCATTGACGTTAGGTTCTTACCAACCTTCCCCTCCTCCTTCCTTATTTGTTTGCATCCCATTTGCCCATCTGTTATGAGGGAAGGTTCACCATTCTCTACTTGTTTTCTTGAAGGCAAATATCTGGTAGAAAGGTGATGAGGAAGATCTGAGGCTTGGGCAGACAGCTACTGGAAGGTGATACCTGGAGTCTGAGTTTGTGAACATGCCTTCATACATCAAGGGCTTGGAATCTACTCTGATTGGAATGCAAAGATGTAAGCAGCTGCTGCTCAAGCTCCACACCTCCAACTGACTGAGCCATTTCTCACTGGGTAGGGTGTGCATCTCAGCTGTGGGCCGGAAGAGTGTGGCAATGATCTTAAACATTTCATGCTTGCAGGGGGTTCCTGATACCTGCCAATCACCTAAAGAGGGCTCAAATCGGTGTGTAGAATCTGAAAGCGTAGCCATTGTTGATGAAACTAAGGGCATGAAGGACAAGCCGGAGGCCAGAGCCAGTTGAACAGAGGCCAAGGTTGGTGGGTAAGCAATTTGGAGAGGTAGGGAGGTGCCAGGGCTAGAAAGACAAGATTAGAAAGGAATTGCTGCTACCTTTGGTTATTTCAATATTGTAGACAATCTGCAAGGTGATTGCACAATCTTCTGCTTGCTAGACGTGACGTGTATTTTGTATATGTTTTGTTTAGCCAGAGAAGATAACAAATGAAAACAGACGTGGCTCAGAAAATCTAAAGTGCAAAGTCTAATAAGTATGCAATGTGGTGTAACATGTCAATTACTTTTGTGAGCAGCTGAGCTGTAGAGCGAGAGATAAGGTCCCAGGTTTCAATACTTACCTCCATACTGCTCTTACTAAAATACATTGATAATAATAATAATATAATAATATAATAATAATAATGATGTTAGTTGGGGGAAAAATGGCAGAATATTGCAGATGCTGGGTATCTGAAATAAAACAGAAGTCGCTGGGAACACTTCGCAGGCCAGGCAGCATCTATGGAGAGAGGAAATTAAGTTTCATTGAGTCTATAGAGGAATTTGAAGGTCAGGACAATTTTCTTTGATGAGGTAGTGGGATTAGTGATTGCAATCCCGGGATTTTGAGAGTACCATTCGGGATCCTATGTGGTATTTAGGTACTCCTGAAATCCTGGGATTCATTGAAGAGAATCCCATGATTAGCGGATTGTATAAAGGGAGGACACAGGCTGCAGGTTTATGGATGTTTTGCAACTTGTTTATGGAAGAGCTGCAAAGTTTGAGTAGCATGTTTAAGTAATGGAGCCTGGAGGTGGTGGAAGAGGGTCTCATCAGGCTCGTGGGAGAGTTAGTGGCTGAAGGGAGCGATTTTTGCAAAGATGATGGAAAGAAGATGGAAAGTAATATTCCGGTTGTAAGAAATGAAGGAGTAGTTGGGGGTCGAACAGGACTCTGACATTCTGCATCAGCTTTGTGCGCATCCGTTTTCAGAAAGGGATAAATTAAATGGAAGAATGACTTTTAAAACATGTGGAGAAAAAGTAGTGTTCAGTACTTTAGTATCTGGTGCCCTCTACTGGCACATAGCCATTTCATGGAAACCTCCTGTGTGTGCTAAAGCCAATGGGAGTACAGTGCTGGGGTGGGCTGTGCTGTGCACTGTTATTGTGACATAATCTTGGAAAGAGCTGGATATTAAAAGGAAACTATTCTTCCATAAGAAGGAAACAGCACTGCTGGGAACGGGTATGTGAAGCTTCCTATAAACCTGATTGTTTTTTTTCCTTGGAATGTTTCTGCAAGTCAGCAGTCAGTAACGCTTGCTGCAGGAGAGCAGAGCAGTGTAGCTATTGCTGGGAACCTCTGGCACTGACTGCTGCATTGAGCATTCCCCAGTCCTGACTCTTTCACAACTACCGTGATTCGCCGCAGCCAAGTGTCTGATAGGTTTCAACTTGTTCGGGAATTGTGAATGGATTTAAGCTGGAACTACCTGGGTGTTTGTGTCTAATGCATTCTGGTGATCAAGAGAACAGATACTTGTACTGTCTTCTCGCTGATTATCTTTGCAACGTGATCTCTTTTTGCAGTAGGCTGAAGACTTGCTGCATTGCCGGCTACTAGGGTATGGTATTAATTTTATGTACAGTGTTTCCTTCTGATCTGTAGACTGCTGATAAAGCTGCTTTGCCGCATGGGATCTGTTTGGGGGTTATTACCAGTAAATAGTTTCACTAAACCCATCTACTCACTACAGTTATCTGCAACATAATTGATGAATGAAGGCATTAATGCAGATCTAATGCAATTTAGAACTAATTTTTTATGCACAAAAGCTTCCCTGAAAATAGTGTTTTGAACGTGAAAAGGTGCAGACTTATTCACCATACACTGATGGAGTTAGCTTTGTAATAATGGACAGTGGGGTCTATCCCATACTAAACCCTGGGTGTTAACATTAGTAAGCGTTTATAATGGGAAATCTCAATACAGGTCCAGAACGAAAATTGGTTGGAAATTAGCCAGCAGCCTATGTTAAAATAATTCAAAAATACGGATCCCTGTGAATAATAAATAACAATCCATTTTTATACAGTGCCTTTCACGTTGGGAGGACACCTCAAAACGCTTCAAACTACACATTCATAAGTCCGCAGCATAGGCAGTTTTACCCTAGTAAACCCTGTCTTCCTGGCCACCTAATACCCTCGCCACTTTTTCTGCTAGGCAAACATGAGCCCACTTCACAGTCCTCACCCACTCCAACAGGAATGTCCCACGAATAACCATGACATGAATGACCCATTTAATCTGGGGGGTTGTTAGCTAGAACACCAGGAGAAACTCCCTTCTATTTTCAAGTAGTGCCATGGGATCTTTAATGTCTACCCGAATATGCAGACTTGGGCGTCAGTTAGCATCGCATCCAAGGACGTCACTTCCAACACTGCAGTATGCCCAGCACTGCATTTGAATGTTTGTCTAGACTGAATTTAAAGTTTGGATGTGGGACTTGAACCCAAGACCTTCTGACTCAGAGGTGAGAGAATGGTAAGTGGTTTACAGATTTCTGTTTCCCACAATTTGTGCATTTTTCTTGACCGTTTCCTTATCCACTCTTAATATAATTTTGCTTTCATACAAAACTTGAATAAAGACAAATCTTGTTACATTGGTCTTAAATATATGGAACACAATCAATTTCATCGGACTTGCTTTTTGCATACAGCACTAGAAGAAGTCTAGGCTCTCTGTCTAGGTATTGCAGAGATGTTTTCTAAAATAATTTACATTTACTTCAGTAAAAAATACCACCCGCACGAAAAAATGTAAGCACACATAGCCAATTAGACTAATAGAAGCCGGTATTATTTACTAAGATATAATGGGGAATCGGAAGCAATAGCATCTGTATGATGCAGAGAATGAAAACATAACATTGTATAGATGGTACTGTATCTGAAATCTATTTTAGCCCCGATACTGTATATATCATATAATACTATTGTTAGGCCTATTGCCTATGTGGGCTTATACAACACCAAATAACAACAATAAATTACATCTGTATCCTTTCACATTGGGAGAACTTCCCAAGGAGCTGAAACGTTTATTGACTTGGGGAGGGGATGTTACGGAATTAAAGCTACTTTTTTTTAGGAAGTACCTTAAAATGTATGGTCAGACAGACTGGATTTTTCCAAATACTGCAGCAGCTAGATTTCAGGTGCAGTACAATCAGTAAAATGTTGTGTACATAGAAAGAAAAGGATGGCACCTGATTTCATTCAGTGAGGAGAGCAGGATGGAAGTCTGGTAAATCCAAGGAAGTCCCAATCAAAACCTGGGATGATGGCGATAGACAGTTAGGGTTAGGGTAGTCTTTGTCATGTGTGAAAATTTGTGGTCCTTATTAAATCTGGAAATAAAATATTTGTGTTAATTTGCTGTGCTTTACTTGGAAAATCATAGACCAATCGTGATTATACAATACTGCAAGAAACCAACGTGAACACAAACCTCTCAACCTGTTCAAGATTTTATTTTTACATAAGTACTCAAGTAGTGAGTGGAACTTGAGGAACTGAGCCTTTTGAATTTTGTCAACCTAGCTTAGTTTGCTAGCACTCTCGCCTCTCAGTCAAGATGTGGGATCAAGTCTCATGTTGGAACTTCAAGATTGTAGTGTAGGTTGATACTCCAATGCAGTGGTGGGCGACAGCTGCGTTGTTGGAGGTGCTATCCTTCAGCTGAGATGTTATACTGAGGTCCCATCTACTTGTTCAGGTAAACAAAGACTCCATGGCACTATTCAAAATAAGAATGGAGTTTCTTCTGGTCTATGGGACATTAATCACTGAGCTAAATCATTATTCACCTCTGGCTGTTTGTGGGTTCTTGTTGCATGGAAATTGCTAAGTTCACCTATAAATATACAGTCATAACAATTTATAAAATTCTGTGATGCACTTTGAGATGTTTCAATGTGGTTAGGAGCTATATCAAATTTAAACATCAGTATTCCTATTTTAAGGAATTATAATTTAGTACCAATTCAAATGAGGTACAAGCTCTAATGCATATTAATGCATATTTTCCCCTCTTAACAGACAGAGGAAAGGACTTCAGCCTGAGAAATGTCTAGTCTCAACTGGCAGCCCTTTGTTTATGGTGGTTTGGCCTCTATCACTGCAGAGTGTGGTGGGTATTGCTTGAGTGTGAATATCAGTAATTATCTTGCAGTAAATGGATGAAATTATTGGATGAAATACTGTTCTTTTAGACGTCTCAAAGACGTAATAAGGTGCTATATCAAATGCAAATATTATTACTGGTGTAAATAATAATGCAGAGTAAAATGTTATGGTGTAGACGGTCATCTCATGTGACTTTTGTGCATTGTCTGTCTCTAGTCAGCCCATTGCTGGCATAATGCTGTATTAGTGCCGGACCTTTTTGTCATTAAGAAATGTAACGTCTCACAAACCAGCATTAAGCCATAAAGTCCAAAAGATTGAGGTTTGATTTCCAGTCAGCGCTAAGTGAACAAACCCCAGCCCGGGCAGCAACTGGCTTCAATGCTTCTGTGCTGTCAATGTTGGCCAGAGTTCCCATTCCTGATCACTCTCAATTAGGGACATGGGGGAGGCTATGATGAAGCTTGGTCCAATAGCCTTACTCTCACTGACCAGGTTTGCAAGTGATAAATGGCCAATTGGACTGCTTGTGCCTGTGGAACCAGGCCACAGCAAGAATCAAAACTATAAAGGGCAATATAAAACAATGGCAGAAAATATTATTGACTCTTGAGATATAGACATTTCACAAGTGCATTGTGAATAAAATGAGCTATACTGGAATAATTCCAAGCATTGGCACAACTGTTTTAAATAAGAGGACGGTCTGGGAGAAGTCCAAGTCCACATTTATTTTGATGTTTTGAAGTGAAAGTTCATATATTGAGTTAAATTGTGCAACAATCCTGCTGTGTTCCTGTAAACAAGCTGCTATTTGTTTTTATTGATCTGAACAGTTGACTCCTTTATTGGTCAAAACAGAACTTAAGTATGTGCCACGTTGTTCTGCATCAGTTTAGTGCAGCACAGTACATAACCTCTGCCAAATGGTAGAAGCAAAAAGTCTGCAAATATGCTTTTGATTTTAGTTTCCTGTGTTTTTCTCACACGTCCTGTTTCAAAAGTAGATGGTTAAAATCACTTTCTGTATTCAAGCAGAGTATACTACAGAGAGAAAACTATACAGCTGTGCTTAACATTACATTGCAATGTCTTTAACTAAAGATGAAATATAATTGAATATTTATGTTTTGAAGGCTTGATATTGCACCAATATTGTTTACTATCCCTATACTGCTTGTGTGTTTGCGGGGAGGATGAGGACAGATTTTTGTTAGATTCCCAATGTTTAACATTGTACTGTCTTGTGCTTTATTTTAAATTCCCCCCCTTGAATATGTTCAAGGACTGAGCACCCACAGCCTTCTGGGGTAGAGAATTCCACAAATTCACTACCCTCTGAGTGAAGAAATCTTTCCTCAACTCAGTTTGAAAAGGCTGACCCTTAATCTTGAGACTATGACCCCTAGTTTTAGATTCTCCAACCAGGGAAACAGCCTCACAGCATCTACCCTGTAAAGACCCTTAAGAATATTATAGGTTTCTATAAGATCACCTCTAATTCTTCTATATTCTGGAGAATATAGGCCTAGTTTTCTCAACCTATCCTCATAGGTCAACCCCCTCATCCCAGGAACCAACTAGTGAATCTACGCTGCACCCCCTCTAAGGCGAGTATGTGCTTTCTTAAATAAGGAGACCAAAACTGCACACAATATTCTAGGTGTGGGGCACTGGAGCTGAGTCTGATCCTATACTTAAGGAATCAAAGGGGGTTGAAAGAGAATAAGGAGATAAACCTGTTAAATGACTACTTCCTGGAGGTTTTTTTAGTCAATTTTGTTTAGAGTGATATTATAAGTATTATAGAGTACATTCTGTGAAGTGCTTTAGAGGTCTCGAAAATGTGATAAGGCCCTATATTAAATGCAAGGATTATTAGTAATTACTAACTAGGAATAAGAATGATTAACAACTTGTTATAGGGTCCTTCACGTGGGGTGGCGTCCCTGAGCGCTTAAAGCTCTTAAACTTAATTACAGCTGATTCTAAGCAGATTAAGTCTTTAGGATGACCTATTAAACCAAGGTCCCACCTGCCTTTTCAGGTGGACACTAAAGATTCAGTGGCTTTATTCAAAAGTAGAAGTGAGTTTCTCCCGGTACCCTGGCCAACACTTCCCCCAAATAAAATTGGTCATTCGTTTATCTTAACTGGGAGTATTGGATGCCATCGTTAAATTTCATTGGATTATAATGGCAAAAATAATATGACTTCATCAGTCAAAAATAAGCAAAGTCAATAATTAGTCTGGAATCTACTCTTATTGATTTGGCTTTTATTCTCTCTTTCCTTCCCTACAACGTTGCAGGTACTTTTCCCATCGACTTGACCAAAACTCGCTTGCAAGTTCAGGGTCAAGTGAGTGACTCTAACTTCAGAGAAATCAGGTACAGGGGAATGGTTCATGCACTTGTCAGGATATGCAGAGAAGAAGGTTTAACAGCTCTGTATTCTGGGTGAGTGTATCTAAACGTTATGTTGAGAAATTCTGTGTTTCAATTTTATTTGTTTGGATAGGTCCAAAAACTGAAGCAGGCTGATTTCACAGTGGCTGTAGGAACCTAAACATTGTTGATGTTATATAGTCTCTCTGTACATATTCATTTCCACATGGTGCTTAATAGACCCAATAGGAAAGATAAAAATCTATGAATTTCTTTATAACTTTAAAGAGCAGAAGGGATTTTGTTTTTCATTCTCCTACTTCCTTGCTGATTTGTTCCCCCCCTCACATTCTGTCTTTTGAGGGTGTTGTAAGCTTTCACAAATGATTAAGCTGAGTCTTTTACCCACTAGTCAAACTCAGTGTTTGTGCGAACAGTGTGAGACATGACTGGAGCCACTCACTCAAGGGATCATTCTTCATGTAAACATGAACACCAAGTATTAGTGAGTTATTTGATGACAGGGGCCAAAGTTGCTTTCCCCCGGATAATTGTATTACGGTGTTGAGAAAATGGAGCCGTGGCAGAAGATCCTGAAACTAGTTGTTCCCCAAACACTGCCCTGATTGATGACATGTGAAAGAGCGCTGCCGCGTTTAATATCACCAACACTTCCAAAGCGCTTTACTGCATATACTGTGAAATAGTGCGACTGTATTTTGTGGCCAAATGCAGCAGCCAATTTGCACATTTCAATGTCCCACAAACAGGTATTTTTAACGTCTATCTGAACAGGAGATGGTTTAAAGTCTCATCTGAAGGAAGCACCTCCAACAATACAGCATTTCTCCAGCATTTCACTGGAATGTCAGTTTAGACTATATGAGTTTCATGCATGGGGCTTGAACCATAACCGTCTGACCAGCAGGCAAGAGCAGGTCATGACCTTCTGACCACCAACTGAGCAAGCCTGACACACAAATGACCTAATACAACACAAATAATTAATCCTGGCAGTTTAGTTTCTAAATTACTGGGGCTGTTGTACACTTTTAGACTTTTACACAGTCTTGTGTGGCACAAGGACCAACTAAGAAAACTGCAGGGGCTACTATTAGAAGGAATTTAATTTGGAGAGAATCTCCTTGTATCCTATTCTATAACCCATTGCTATTGTAAATCTGTAATTTAATGCTTAGTGGCAGTTTGCTCTTTTTTTAAAAAAAAACTAGTTTTCAAAAGAAAATACAGGTCTGAGAAGTAATTTAGTGTTTCTTTAATGAAAAGAAGATGTTGTAAAGCATGTGCTTGTCCTGATGTTAATTCCTTGCAGGATAGCCCCAGCTATGCTCCGCCAAGCCTCATATGGTACTATAAAGATGGGTACGTACCAGACCCTGAAACGTCTGTCTAGGGATCAGCCTGAAGGTAAGAGCCACAAATACTACATTTGCTTTCACTTTTCCCACGTAGTTATCAATCGGCAATCATGAATGACAGTGCATTTAATTATGTGCTGTAGATAATTATATGAATATGTAGTTTGGTGTGCTGACTTGGTTTACAGTTTGGTTCTACAGTAGTGTCCTATAGTATTCCAGTGAGGGCTGCTGTCCTATATTTGCTTGCTATAAATATGACTGTTCTAATTTATTTGCCCTAGATTCAAATCACTTAAAACCTATTTTTTAAAAAAAAGAATCTTCATAGATATTTAATTGATCCTATTATACTTGAATGACCATGACTTCTATTCTATTTGTTACCTCACAGATGAGACTTTGATCACTAATATGTGTTGCGGGATTCTCTCTGGAGTAATCTCATCCACTATTGCCAATCCTACTGATGTACTGAAGGTAAGAATTCACTATACTCTACCATGCTAGTACAGTGTAGTGAAGATGCTGCATTTTATTGCGAAACTTGAAAGCACAACATTTTCCTTGTCCTACTGCCTCATTCGCTGCCTCAAGAGACTATTTTCTTAAGGCACTGTTGGGCACGATCTCCCACTATTATTTTGGGACTCTGGGGCTTTCAAAATTGCACTGATCAGTTGTACTCTAGCTCTACATGTCAGTTAATATTTGAACTTGGAAGATCACCATCCATGCACTCTAATTGAGGAACGGAGCGTTAGCCTTTCTGATTAGCGATGCATTTCCATTAATGGTGACAGCCTCTGGTTGTCTAAGCACTTCCTAACATTAAGAGTACTTGTGTGGCTGCAATGCTTGCTTAAATATATTTCTAATATTCACTGACACAACAAAGTGCAGCTCAAAATAATTGCAATAACAGACGCTCTGAAAATTGACACTGGAGATTTCTTAAAAGCACAGAAAGGTTGTAATGAGTACAGAGTCTTTCAAATTTAATGACGGCAGCAAAACATTGCTGTATTATAAGACAAATTTAACCCTTAGTTGCTGATGGTTGCAATGCCATTTTCTTTGGCTTACCTATATACAATTGAAGCCATTACACAAGCGTGAAGTACGGCAGTAGCCACGGAGCATGAGTGGTTTACAGAATGCAGTGAGTGCTTGGTTTGTGAGGAAATAATTCAAAAAGAAGCCAAAGTTAAATTCTGCTGCCAAATTTCAGAATGGTACATGCAGACGTGATAGGTGTTTCATGAGCAACTAACAACGTAATACCGTGGCCTCTGACATTTGCAGTCTCTACCAGATTTGATGGTCAGTTTGTATTGAGGCTGGTTTGTTTTTGATGTAGTTCAACTTGTCTAAAGTAAATATTAGGTATGTAATGTTGCAACTGTGTCCAATCCTGTCGAGGTCAGGAAAGTACTTGTTTTTACGTCATCGAGTTTCTTTTTGTGCAGTTTCTAATATTAATCAGAAACGAGGTAATATAAAAAATAACGAATTAACAGCAAATCTTGGTTTGATTCTTTTAAAAAAATTGCATTGTTTAAAAGGGCAGTTTCACCCTTAATACTTTTAAAAAAAAAAAAAAAAAAAAAAAATAGCTGACATCCTACTTACTCCATTCCTGGGATTTTTTTTGTTCAAACAGTGTGTAATGCAAGTGCGTTTACTGATTGAGCAGGTTACTGGTTGAGCAGGTTACTGGTTGAGTGAGTTACTGAGCTTGCAGAGAGAAATGCAGTCACTAGGCTAAAAGTTGCTTCATCTTCCGAGATGTTTGTTAACTTGCTTTCCTTGGTGTAGTTCTATAAAATATTTTTGGTTTGTGCTACATTTTATCAGGTGAAAGCGTATTTTTAAAAACAAACCCAAATATAAATGTACATTACAAAATCAATTGCAGAGAATTTTGAAATTTATTTGTGCTTTAGATTGTCAAAAATTGCACTGTCTAAGATTTAGGCAGTCACTGCACTTTAGAGTAAAACCCTGTGAAGTACTTTTAGCTATTATGATGTGATAAAAGGGCATATCAGATGCAACTATTACTATTGTTAACTTTCCGATTGCGGTGGCTGTTTGTGTTTTATAGATCAGAATGCAAGCTCAAAGCAACCTGGTGAATGGAGGTATGATTGGAAATTTCATTTCCATTTACCAACAAGAAGGAACTCGAGGACTGTGGCGGGTGAGTTCTCTGTAATCTACTCTCATGATCTACTTTTTTTATACACCCCCATATATAAAAAANTATTTTCCTTATTGCTGTTTGTGGTATAATGTGTGTAAATTGTCTGCTGTGTTCACGTACATCTACACAGTCACTACATTTCACAGAAACATTGTGTGTTACTTTCAGACTTCTTTACATTATTGGTGCTGTATCCAATGCAATGAGGAATATTCTTAATAAACTGGGAATAGTCTCCAACAAAAGGCTGTAGCAAGTGAGTGTTTAGAACCATGTAAGAAAGCTTTCTTGTAGATTATTAGCATTGCGGAACAGGCAACAACTTGTATTTATATAGACGGGCAGATTGGCAGCTCTTAATATCTCATCCTTTGGTCAGTGTTAAAAGGTGGACATGATGAATCTCATGACATTGTTTGAAAAGAGGAGGGTGTTTTCCTTTGCTGTTAAAAAAAATTACGCTGACAGCTTGTGATGTTTCAAAGTGATAAGATGCTATTAAAAAATGTGAGTTGTTTCTATTGTTTCAGCCTTTATTTACACCATTGATTAGGCCAATGTCATTACTTGTTTAATGTATGCATTATAAAAGAACTAAGAAAACCTGCATTTGATATAGCACCTTATGTTCAAACATCTCAAAAGACTTTTTTTTGAAGAAAAATGTTGTTTCAGTGTAGCGTCATGAAATTTGCACCCTCACAAACAATCGTGAAGTGAATGACCTTTTATCTATCTGGAGATTGTTGGCCAGGTCACTGGGAGGAACTCCTTTCACTATTCAAACATCACCATGGGATCTTTAACGTCCAACTGAATAGGAAGCTAGCTGGCTCTTGCGCCAAAACAAATGCCAAAGGGCACCTGCTTTTACAAGAAAAAATGTGCCTTATAAGTGGTCCTTTATAACAGGGTTCTGCTATATCAATTCGGTGTTCATTTAAACCCTCTTGAGTTGCTCTGTGATGTGAATTTGAGCTCGTGACAAACTGGTTTTGAATCTGCCCCAACCCATTTGACACAGGGTGCTTTCCACATAGCAGAGAAAAGGCAGCTTTCAACAAGTCTATGTCGAATTTGAAGGCACATGTTTTAACAACTTTGCTATCCATCATCAGTCCATATCCATACTCTACATAATTCACTTTTGTCTCTGTTGTTTGTATTAGGGGGTCTTCCTTACTGCTCAGAGAGCAGCTATTGTTGCTGGAGTGGAGTTGCCAGTGTACGATCTCACCAAGAAGAACCTAATCTTGTCAGGAATGATGGGAGACACCATCCACTCGCATCTTGTGTAAGCTATTGACTGCATTCTGAGAATTTCACCAAGGTTGCAGGATACTTCCCCACCCCACCCCACCCCCACCTGGGGTGCCAAGCCATTATTGTCTAGCGCCATGGGACAAACTCCTGGTGTGATGAGCACAATACAAATGTAAAATTGAATTTTATTAAAGGTTTGAAGGTCTTAAAATCTCCATTTCTGGATTTAATTGAATAAAAATTCCTTTTGGCCTGACAACAGCTAGTTTATTGTTGGTAAAATGTTATAATCTAATCTTGAATCACATTTTGAACAGAACAACAAATGCATAATTGTAACTATATTAAGCTGCTAAGCATATGGAGTGACTAGTAAAGATAAATAGACCCTGAAATATTTTTTTTTAAAAAGTGAGGAAATTACAAAGACTGAATTTTTGGTCTGATGAGGATTCTTGTTCTTTATTGGTCTAATGGCAACTGCCCAACCCATTTGGACAGGAACCTTCCACCCAGCAAAGAAATGTCAAAGTGGAATTTTATTCCAAATCTAAAGCGTTAACAGCTGTAATACAACCAACTTCAATATCAGTTACTGTTCATGTAATGTAGCTGTTTATATCTTTTCATTTGCATTTTTTCTATCTGGTATATTGTGAACGTTATGAAATCCTCTTTCATATAAAATTCTGAATTAGGCCTGCTCACTTCTCCTGGGCAAAAAAGACCTAGAGTCCTGGAAGACGCTCCCCTTGTATATAGCATGGGTGGGAAGCCATGTCTGTTATTTCCGTCCCTTTTCCAACAGATGTAATTGACATTCCAAAAGAGCTGTTGTCTTGTTATTCCACTTGCTGGTATTGAACTTATCGTAGAGGTTTGTAAAGCATTCTGCTGTTTGAAGTATAATAACCCACAAGGTTATATATTTGTAATGCAGTGGTTTGGAATAAAAGATAATGGAAAATTCTTCAATTCAATCTTGATTTGGAAGCTGGTCTTGTTTTACAATCTGCAGGGAGACCAGCTAAGTGCAATGCTGTGATAGAGACCCATAGGATATATATAGGAAGAATATCTTGATATTTTCCCCAAAGTAAAACACATTCCTGGGTCATTGCAGTCACATGTTGTTCTCATAGGAAGCTTAATTTGTACAAGTTGGGGAAAACCTGCCTTCAAAAGTTAACTTGGGTACAAAATAAAATTGAAATAGTTTGAAAAGTAATGCAATGTTTCATTCTTCAGCTCCAGTTTTGTTTGTGGTATGGTGGGAGCAGTTGCCTCTAATCCAGTTGATGTTGTGAGAACGAGAATGATGAACCAGAGAGTCATAAAGGGTCAAAGTCACTTGATATACAAGGGTACAGTGGACTGCATATTAAAGGTACGTTTACAACTGATTTCTTTAAATAATGTCACATTTTAACTTTCAGTGGAAAAGAACAAGAAATGCATGATGTAACAATGGTAAGAGGTGTTTTCACACAGCCCTACATATGTTTCCTAATGTTTGAATACCGTTTTATCCAAATTGTGTGGATTTATCAATCTAAAATTTAATACGGCACAGAAATCAAGGCATCGTACCTTGGTCTCATTGTGAGATGAACCTAGTTTAGAAATGTGTAGAGGGAGAATCAGTGGGAAAATACACTGCATGATATTGACACTGAGCACTTGGGCCAGTCCTGTAGCTCAGTGGTTAGAGCACTCGCTTTGCAAGTGAGAGACCTGAGTTCAATTCCAGTCAGAGGGCGAACCCTTGGGCAAGTTTCCTTACTCCACACGCCTAATAATAATCCCTCCAAAACTAAAAACAATAATTAAATTGGTCATTTTCAATCTACGTCTGTTTGTGGGACATTGCTGTGCGCAATTGGCTGCCGCGTTCGCCCACAAATATGCAGTCAATTCACTTTACAGTGTGTTCTGTGAAGCGCTTTGGGACGTCCTCCCGACGTGAAAAGCGCTATATCAAATGCAAGGATTATTATTATTATTATTATTATAGGTTCATTTCGTGATCACACTTTGATCTGGGATAGAAGTAGAATCCCTCAATATCTGCACTAACATGGACTATCCCTCCCCTTTGCAATTATAATACAATTTTTTTTATTTATATTATATATTTCATGTCAGGAAGATGCCCCAAAGTGCTTTACACAGCTGGCTTGGTACCCGAGCTAAGGGGTGGGAGCTGAAGAGGGTGGGGAGGGGGGCAGGGTAAAGCGGACCAAAAGCATGGTCCTAAAGAGGACCAAAAGCAAGTAATGAGACAAGTTCTGAAAGTGGGTTGGGAGGAGGTGAGTCAGAGGGACTTTAGGATGGAGTGTGAGAATCATGCATTTATCAGGCCATTTTCTGAAATGTGGCAAGCCTTTTCATTGAGCTCAATATGAGGGAACTGTTCAATCCACACGTATCAATGGATATGATTAGGTGGTACATTAGACTGACTGAGCAATTTTCCTCCAAGGAGTTATGAATGGAGATGCTGTTGGAAGGTAATCTCCTTTTCTTAAACGACAGCTGTATTTACTGGGTTGTTCTAATAACCTATTTTCTATACACAAATCTATTACCATTGTGGATTTGGTTAATTATTTTTTGCAGACCTGGAAGTATGAAGGGCTCTTGGCGTTATATAAAGGATTCTGGCCAAATTGGTTAAGACTAGGACCGTGGAACATCATTGTATCCTTTTAACATTTTGAATAAAATTTACAGTTATTCTGTTACATCTCAGGTACAGAATACAAGAACATAACCCTGATATAGCACAAAGGTTTGAACCCAGGACTCTGGTAGGCAATCTTTGGCAGAGTCTTTAACCATGCTATATTCCGTGAAGTGCTTTGGGACGTCTAGAAGACGTGAAAAGCGCTATATCAAATGCAAGGATTATTATTATTATCATGCTAAGCTTTAACATTGCACCTCCTTCTCACCATTAAACTTGCCTTAAGACCAACCACTTTGAACACCTCTTTTTCCCCTAACCCCCTGTTAATGTTCTTTCATTTTAGGCAGAAGATGTTTTCCTTAACTGTCTTTCCAGTTCTTTGTAACGTATGAACAGCTGAGGAACATTGATATTTAATGTACTGTCCAGCAGCTTATTGCTTTGCGTGTGTGGCCTCTAAACACAATTCATGCCTTTGGTGCTTCAGTTCCTCCAGCACATTGGAACAGGTCAATGGAAGTAAACAAATGCCAATTTCTCTTGTTTTGTTCTGGTAAATTATCTTGTACAAATTTGCAGTCACTTTTCTGTTTGTACAGATGGCATTCTATCACTGTGTATGGTGCAGGACATTATTGATTTTATTCTCTTACCGTCTGAAAAGATGGATCACGTTCTTTATTTACGAAGGTTCATGTAAGTTTTTTAATGCATAGATGTAGAGGACATTGAATGTAAAATGCCTTAATGACTAGGAAAGAGTCAACAAACCAGGAGATCAATATGGTAAATAGTGAAAAATAAATTTTTCCTATTTTTAAAATCAACTTAAGTAGTGATATTTTTGCACAAATAATTATTTTGCACTTTGATTAAGCCCAATATCTTTAATAAATGGGTGCAACTTACAAAAATAGATTAGAAGGCTCATCACCATGAAGTTGGCTCAAGATTTAATGTAGCAATGGATTTAAAAAGATGACCCACTGTAAAATAATGTGATCAGATATAATGAAGCCAACATATAATGAACATGCTATACTTTAAATAGAGAAAGAACTTGTAATTTTATAGAGCCGTTGAAACGTCTCAAAATGCTCCACATGTAATGATTACTAAGAAAGCAAACAAAATGCAAGTTCATTCTTCAAAAGTCTGATAAGTATGTTTTGCCCTATGCTGCTGCAGCCCTTTCCTCTCAATTTGTGATGAATGGTTTGTTAGTGTGGTACAGTAGTTACCTATGCATCTTCAGATGTGCCTAGAATCCATGCAAAAATATACAAAGAATGTAATTGATCAATGTCATAATGTTTCCATCTAAATATTTTTTATATACATATATATTTTATATCCCCAGGTTGTGTGTTTTTTTGTTCTTGTTATGAAAAATATGTCCCTTTGAAGGTTACACAGTACTGTACAAACTGTTTTACTGCTGAAAATGGCATATGCATGTTTTGTTTGACAAATGTATTGGTTTTATGTTGGAAATGCCTTAATCTTTTGACCATTATATGCAAAGTGTGCAAGTGAATTGCAAAAGTAGTACATAAGTAAAATAAATAAAATACCAACTGAAATGTAGAGGTTATTTGTGTTGTTCGGCCAGACTGTCTGTGCTGTGCAGAATGAGGTGAGTTGCAAAACTAAAATGCTGTAAAACATTCTTTTTATGAGATTTTTGAGACCAAAATTTTTCATAGTGAAACACTTTGAGATGTTGTGATGACGTGCTAAAATGTTACACCAAATGCAATGATTATTATTATTTATACAAAAGCATTTATTGTTTTATGAGATTGTGATTCTAAAGGTTCTAATTGGAAAGTTCCTTCAGTCCATTGCACAACTCTGATGTACAATTATTAGTCTAATTTTAGGTCTATTTTCTTCACATAGTCACTGCTTCCTAACTGTTCACACTTGTAAAAGTAAAATGCTACGGAAAGGTAGCATGGTGATTCATAAAGATAAGGTGCAGTGATCAGTGGAGGCCAGGTGCTTCCCCACAGAGTGAAAGTAAGCACACACAAGTCTGTGCGTCTGAGCCTATGTCAAATTTGTACTGCTTGTACTATCAGGCAGGGTGACAATGAGCCTTGCGGGTAGACTGTTATTACATTGAGGCATAAAGAAAAGCAAAACATCAAAAATCTCAAACCAAACATTCAAACTTGCACTTTAAAAAAAACATTTTATGTGCTCCCAGAAGTGGCAATAATTGTTGATAATGAGCAGAGAAACGAGGATACGCTGGCTCCTTTTATATTTATTGTAGGACCTGCTATCTGCATGTTCACATCAAAGGATTTTTAGACTTCTCCAGTTTGATTCTTACTTACACTGTTGTGCATCGTCATAATTGCAGCATTCAGAAATGCTTTGAGATGTTTTGATGAGGTGCTAAAATATGGAGGGACAAAAAATGATACTCAAAGTGAGTGAGGGATTACCTTTTTTCCTGGAAAAAACATGAGCCCTTGTTATACTTTGGTTCACTTTTCTCCTTTATTTTTTTTGAGGGAGCTGACTCATATCTAAGTGCAGTAGTTAAAAGTACACGATTGACAAAGTTCATGTTTCTCATGATCACTGGAATATAGTTATTTTGTGGATTATAGTGGCTTTACATATTGTGTGTTCAGTGCGTCTGCTAATTGTTTTGATTAAGAGAAATTAAGCCAATTAGCCTATGAAATACTGCATGACTCAGATCAAGATCACTTCAAAGGTCACAATTTGGCAGCAGGTTTTTCAGCTTCTTAAACACAAAATTTAGGCAAAGTACACAAATCTCTGGGCTCCTCTAAAAGCAGTAGAGGGTGATTGATAAGTCTCTGAAGTCTCTTGCTTATGTCTCTGAAAACTCTTGCTTATTATAGATGATAACGATAATACGGCATAAAATGTATTCATATAATGATAATCTGAAAATTTGATACAGCACCTTTTACAGCAGTATCTCAAAGCACGTTGCAGAATATACTGTGAAGTGGAATAGTGTGAATCGTGGGTGAACGCCCAGACAATTTTGCACGCAGGCAATGTTCCACAAACCATCTTGAAATGAATGACTAATTGTAGGTGGGGGATTGTTGGGGAGGATACTGCGGGGGTGGTGGAGGGGGTGGGTGTGTGTGTGTGTGTGTGGAGAACTCCTCATTCCTCATCTTTAGTGCCACGGGATCATTACCGTCCCCCCGAGTGGGCGGACGGGATCTCGGTTTAACATCTCATCCGAAGGGCGGCCCCTCCAGGGATGCAACCGCCCTCCCAGCGCTGCGGCGGAGAGGCCCGACCTGGGGCTTGAACCCACAACTTTCTGACTCCAGAGGAGACAGACAGACAGACAGACAGAGAGAGAGACCCAGTCAGACAGACAGAGAGAGGGAGAGATAACCACTGAGCCAGGCTGACAGCACAACAGCATAATTATTCACCTACTGCCAGGGCTGCTCGCGACACAGTCACTACACCTGACTGAGACTGACAGGGCGCCCGGGGCCGTGGAGGGCTCTGACACGTTTCAGTTCCGACCCTCTGGCCACCTGTGTCCGGTGATCAGCTCCACTGGTGGGAGGCGGCGGCGGCCCGGTCCGGCCCGCGCTGTGTGTGTGTGTGTGTGTGAGAGCTGCTGTGGGGGCGCGGCCTGTCCCTGTCCCTGTCCCTACACACACCCACACACACAGCCTGTGCCCGGCGCTGGTGTCAGGCGGTGGGATGGCGGCGGCGGCGGCGGCGGATGGGAGCGACTCCCGGGACCGACTGGCGCTGTGGGAGCGCGGACCGGAGCCCGCGGCCCCGCTCACTGACACCCAGCGGCGCAGCGTGGCCGAGCTCAAGGCCGCCGCCGAGAACATCCCCACGCCGGCAGAGGTGAGCGGGGGCCTGGGGGAGGCCGGGACCTGGGGGCCTGGACCCCGGGGGGGAGGCGGGACTGGGGAGGCCGGGGTCTGGGGGGGGGGGAGGCCGGGGGGGGGGAGGCCGGAGCCAGGGGGAGGGGGGCGGGGTCTGGACCCCGGGGGGGGCGGGGGAGTCTGGGGGGGGGGAGCGGGGGGGGGGGAGGCCGGGGCCTGGACCCCGGGGGGGAGGCCGGGGCCTGGGGGAGGGAGGCCGGGGTCTGGGGGGGGGGAGGCCGGGGTCTGGGGGGGGAGGCCGGGGTCTGGGGGGGGGGAGGCCGGGGCTGGGGGGGGGGAGGGGGCTGGGGGGGGGGGAGGCCGGGGCCTGGACCCCGGGGGGGGGGAGGCCGGGGCCTGGACCCGGGGGGGGGGGGGGAGGCCGGGGCCTGGACCCGGGGGGGGGAGGCCGGGGCCTGGAGCCGGTGTTGCGGGAAGCTTCGGGGCGGCGGCTCGTCAGGCCTCGGGTTACCCGATGAGGCGGCCAAGAGGTGCCACGTCGCCAGGAGCGGGCGGGGGCCTCCGGGGCCCTTAGCCTCCGGGGGGAGGGGGGGGGGGGGGGGGGGAGGTGGCTACTGAGCCCCACATTAGGGCGAGTGTGTGAGACCAGACCAGGTCAGGTCAGGTCAGGCCAACACCGGGCTCTGGACACTTGAGGAACCAGAACAAGACCTCAGTGTAACCTCACACACAGCACCGCAGCCACAACCGGTAACTGGCGTTACACCGCCGTCCACATCAGGAAGGCGTCTCGAACAGCTTCCGTGTCGGTATAGCATCCTCCACGCGAGGCAGGGTCCCAGCCAGAGCACTCCGCATCCCCGACCCGACCCGACCGGGAGCCGGGGATGGGGCAAAAGTGGGAGAGGATGGTGTCCAACCGAGTCGGCGTGAAGTTGGGGAGGGGAAGGTCACCTGCGCCTGGATGCAGTTCCAGACGGCGGAGCGGACACGAGCTCATGTTGGGGTTGAGTTGGGCGAGGGCGTGAAGCAGGTCGGTATTTGCTGGGAGGCCGGAGAGACTGGAGCCGGGTTTGAATGTGAGAATTAATTTGCTACGCGGGGGATTGGGGAACCCGTAGAGCTGAGGGCAGACGGGAGCAATAGGCCTTAACCCGATTCGGTTGGACACCTTTCTCTCCCACTTTTCCCCCATTCCAGGCTCCCGGTCAGGTCAGATCTGGGATGTTAAGTGGCTTGAAGGAGGAGAGGACAAGAGCTGCAGAGTTCTGGATGGCCAGGGGAGTCCGGCATGTTGTTTGACTGGTTGAGTTTAAAAGTGATGAATGGGTAGAAGAAGATCTTCAAGCAAAGGCTTGAGCCCACAACCGCTGACCCAGAAGTTAAGAGTTTGTAACATTCAGCTTTGTGTCAGAAGATTGAAGATTGACTGATGGTAACTTGTTCAGAAGTGCACAATATGCAAGGACCAGTCACTAGTACAAAATTCCGACTGCTGGTAATCATTTTCGGACAAGGGGATTTCAAGTTGGCCATTTTTTTAGTGAGGAAAGCTGAAATGCCTGACGTCTGGGCCATAAACTCTCAGAGGTAAGATGGGGGAGGTGGGGGATAGGCAAAGTGGGTCATGGCATGGATGTAGAGTGGTAGAAAAGTTAGTTGAGGGTCAAACAAGATGCCAAGGCTCCGGACTGGCTCAGTGAGGTGGAATGTGCATCCTTGGATGGTGATGCTGTCAGTGCCTGATGTGTGGAGATGCTGACGGTCTTATTGACGTTCGACTGTAGAAAGTTAGCTCTCATCCAGGACTTGATGTCTGACAGACATTCTGTCAGGACAGCAGTGGTCCTGGAGTCGAGGATGGAGGCAGAGAGAGAGTTGGGTGTCATCCACATATATGTGGAAATTGACCCCATGTCTGTGGATGATGTCACCAAGAGGGAGCATATAAATATCGAAGAGGAGGGGAGCAAGGGCAGAGCCCTGAGGAACTCGCCACGAGATGGTGCGGGGGCTATACGAGAAGCCGTTTGTGGAGATGAAATGGAGACGGTATGAGAGGTACAATCTGAACCATTCAAGGACAGGACAATGAAGGTTGAAGGGAGGAGAGGTGGTGGAGGAGGAAAGAGTAGTCAATGGTATTGAAGGCAGCAGAGAGGTCAAGGAGGACGAGGAGGTAGAGGGAGCCCTGATCACTTTGACCAAAGCTGTTTCTGTGCTGTGGGCTGTACGGAAGCCTGATTGGAGAGGTTCGTAGGAAGGGAGGAGTGGAAGAGGAAGGAGTGAAGCTGGGAAGCAACGACTTGTTCCAGGACCTTTGAAAGGGAGGTTGGAGATGGAGAGGTAGTTTGAGAGTAGGGATGCGTCCAGGGAGGATTTTTTAAAGATAAAAGAGTGATGACAGAAGACAGAATACTGCAGATGCTGGAAATCTGAAAACAAAAACAGAAGTCGCTGGGAACACTCAGTGGGTCAGGCAGAATCTGTGGAGAAAGAAAAGTGAGTCAACGTTTCGGGTCCACGACCCTTCGTCAGAACTGGGGCATGTTGGGAGGGAGAGGCTTTTAAGATCTAACGGGGGAGGCAGGACAAGGAAGAACAAAAGAGAAAATGGTGTAGAGGACAAGGGATGATGGGTTAAATAGGTAGTGTTGATTCAAACCAAAGGGAAGGAAACTGATGACAGACGTTTTTAAAGGGGTGGGAACGGTGCCAATGGCAGGGAGAGGTTATTGATGTCTGTGAGGTGGAGCTGGGAGGTTAGGAGACGCTTAGGCATGGGGTCGAGGGAGGAGGTGGTTGGTTTCATGTGAGTTATGGTGGTGGTGAGAGAGGGAGACGGGTTCGAAGGTGTGGAGGGGTGGGTTGGGCTCAGGGTGTGAGGGGGAGATGGGGATTTAGAGTGAAAGCCAGCTGGCGTGCAGGAAGCAAGAGCAGGCTGGCATACGCAGTGAATGGGTTCGCGCTGCGCTGTATTATAACCAAATTCATGCTATAAAGAAGTGGTTATAACAGGACGTCACAATCGAGCAAGTAAATTTCTACCAGGCTCTCATCTTGATCTATGGTAGGAAATCTAGCTGACTTCTTGCCATGTGGTTGAGATAATAATAACAATAATAATAGTATCGGATGTAGTGCCTTATTGCATTGTTGATTCGTCTCGAAGTGCTTCATATGATATATTGTAAAATGGATTGATAAGTGTATTTTGTGGGCAAAACTCGTCAGCCAATTGCACCCAGCAAATTATTATTTATTATTATTAACTCAGTGCTGGAGATCGAATATGGGACATTATGTATAGTGTAGAATAGACTGGTTGGTACCAGGTCTATTGTTAAAAGATGATTGCAAACTTAATTATTAACATGATTAACCTCATCTCTAAGACTTTCTTTTTTTAAATTACAGTTGCCAATTGAGGATCTTTGCAGCCTGACCTCTAGATCCATGACTGTTCCTCTTACAGCTACTGTTCCTGAATCCACTGAGGATATTCTTCTTAAAGGCTTCAGTGCCTTGGAAATGGAAAATGAGAAAATAGAAACTGCCCAGCAGGTAGCCATAGATTTGATGAAAGAATACTGCATTTAATGTCAGAATATGAATGGTACCTTAAATGGTTAAAGCATTTTGTTTTGATATAGTATATTGGTATCCTAGACGTTACCCCTCATTGAAGGGTGGGGAATAAATGCAAGTTATTGTTGTACTGGTAGAAACTGAGCATAATTTATAGCTGAACAAAATTAATAAGGTTCCTATGCTCAGTTGTGTTAAGTAGTAGTAATTTTTAAAAAATTCTTCAAAATGGTTCTCATAATAATCCTTATATTTGATATAGTGCCTTTCACATCAGGGGGACATCTAAAAATGCTTCTCTGCAAAGTGGAATGGCTTTGTATTCTGTAGGTGAACCCGGCAGCCAATTTGCAAACAGCAGTGTTCCATCAACCACCATGAAGTGATGACCAGTTTTATTTGGGGGAATTGTTGCCCAGGACACTTGAAGTGATTCCCTTTTCTTTCTGATTTTTAACATTTATCTGAGCAGGCAGATGGGACCTCAGTTTACCATTTCATTCAAAGGATAGCACATCCAACAATGCAGTGCACCCCCACCACTGCATTGGAGTGTCAGCCTAGACATGTGAGCTTGGAGTCCCGAATTGAGGCTTGAATCTACAGCCTTTTGACTCCGAGGCGAGAAGATTACAGCAGAACCAGATCGACACACAAACAGAATATGCTTTTGTGTAAAATTCATTACTTAGATATTGGGATTCTATTGTTCGGATCCTTCAAACTTTAGTAGTATATTTTATGAAATACTGTTCAAATTGCTTGGCTTGTAACTGTAAGTATACTTTTGACAAACCTAGAAAAATCTGGTTGATTTGTAGGAATTCCAGACTGCAGTTTGCTGTTGTGTGTGTAAATACTGAAGATGTCAACAAGAAGGGGGAAGGCTCAGTGTATGCTTTTCTTCATTGCTCAATTGTACAATAAGCTTTTTGTTTGAATCGTGGGTACGTGATTAGAAATGAACGAGACCAGACTTTGCTTTTTTGCGGTCTTTTTAATCTGAAACAAACAAAGGTTTTAGGAACTTATTTCTTCAGTAGCAAAAATGAATAACTTTTTTAAATTTTTTATGTTTCAGTTCTATTCCTGGTTCTCAAAGATACACACACAAATGGACCAGGATGAGGGAACAAAATACAGGTATACACTGAAGGCACAAATGCCCTAATGTTAACTACTCAGCTGACAGCAGTTTTATTCAGTAAAACTGGATGATTTTGTATATGCCTGTATAAAGTGTATCCAGTTGTTTTAAACTCATACCGTAGTATATAAATCACTAATTGTTTGTGAGATGAGCCTCCCTGAATGGAACTAAATGGAGATGTTGCAAATATAATTAGTGCGAGAAATTTAATTATTGCATTCAGGAGCATTATACACGCTGAGGTTTGACTAGGCACACCTTTGGTGAAGAGACCTTTTTCATTAATGCTAACCCCATGGATTGCAGCGTGTGATAAATTTGGTGGCTGAACCTGGAAAAATATTCTATTTGTCCAGCAGTTTTTTATCATGAGTACAACTCACTGGAACATTCCAGTAAAACTATTAACTGCATAGCCAGTGGGGATCTGTAAAATATTTTTTTCTTATTAGGAAGAAGAGAAGGCAGTAGTAACTTGCTCCTGAATTGCTATTTCTCCTCACAGAAAAACAAATCCTGTGTTGTGCAGTCTTATCTTTGAGAATTCACTGTCGGTAGTTATTTCTAAAGTATGTACATTTGCTGCTCTGCATATAGTGTATATTTGAATCATAATTCTTCCTTTATTATTTAGAGAAATGAGGAATTATCTGAATGGCTTCCAGGAGCAGTGTGATGCTATATTGAATGATGTAAATACAGCCTTGACGCACTTGGAGTCTCTGCAGAAACAATACTTGTTTGTGTCCACAAAGACCGGGGCTTTACATGAGCCTGTGAGCAGCTTTTGCGGGAACAGGTAAGTCAACCTTCTTGGGAATTTGTTGATGTGACCACTACGCTTGGAATATCTAGTTGAGGTAGAAAGTAAGGTTGTTTGCTTTTGGTATCTTGACTGCTCTGAAAATAGCGGTGAGAAATGATGGGTTTTACCCAGTGCCTTAGTCGGTAAAGCTACTGCCCAATGTTAAACCAAGCCATACTGACTAGAAACTCCTAAATTCGATCCCTGGTGTTTGCTGAGTTAGCGAGAGCCTGTTGCCCTAATTCTATCGCTGTAAGAGTATTGTTGTGCAGAGATTCTATGGATGAGGGTAATGAGCACTTTACAAGCAAGAACCTTGTTCTCTGTAACTCAGATGAGCACAAATGAAGCCTGTAGCACAATCGTCTGCAGATGGTGGCTAGATTTTTACTAGTACTTGGGCTTTTCCTTTTTCTGAGAATTATAAAACTAGGTGCTTTTTCTTTCAATTATAAAAATACTTTGGTCTAATGGATTTATTTTTGTGCTAATATATTTTTCTTTTTCAACAGTCTGAGCTGGTTGACCTTGCCGAAAATATTAATCAGAAGCTTTCATATTTCAATGAATTGGAACATATAAACACAGTATGTATTCAGCCTAGCATCTACTTAAAAAGAGAAGAGAGTTTATTCTGGTGTCCTGGAACAATCTCCCAAATAAAAAAAAATTGGTTACTTGTTTCAAAATTGTTTGTGGGACATTGCTATGTGCAACTAGCCTGCCGCATTTGCCCACAAAACGCACAGTCACTGAACTTTACAGTAAATCCCGTGTTTTGGAAATTCATGACGTGAAAGGCGCTATACCAAATTTAAGGATTATTTATTGTGCAGCACTCTTGAGATATTATCCTGTGTGAAAAGCCCTCCATAAATGCAAATTGTTGCATTTTTGTGGTCTGCTTCTGAAAAATAGTAAGAAAAAGTTTGGATGTGTCCTCTAGCTGTAAGTTGTTTCCATAATGTGTTCTTTCAATCAATGGATGTGGAGTTGGAACAAACGTTGCACCTTGATATTATTATTACCCTAGAAATTGCATTCACGTACATTATCAGTGAACAGTGAAGGATTCATCCCGATGCTGGCCAAACTGGATGGTTGCATTACGTATGTGTCATCACATGTAAGTATTCCTTTGTCCATTTCACAACTGATTAATTCTAATTTACTTTTGATCTGCCATTTAGTAGATTAATACCTTATTGTGCATTACCATATTTTGCTTTAATCTGGAGGTTTTGTAATAATGCAAAGCTTATTTTATCCACTTTATTATCACAACTCCTGGATTATTTGGTAATCTCCGTTGCTACTACTGTATTAATTTTGTTATCTCCAGACTTGATTTTTCTGATGTTCTTTGCTAAATCCTCTCTTCACAACTTTGAGCTCATTCAGAATCCTGTAGACTGTGTCCTTTCCTGCAACACACTCTACATCAAGCCCATCATTGCCAGGCTCAACTGGCTCCACCGTGTTTATTTTCAAGTCCCTCCATGCCCATGCCCACCCTACATCTACAATTATATCACACCCCACTCTCGTTTTCCGCTCCCTGTGCTCCACAAACTCTGGTCTGCTGCCCCATCACCCTACCAACAGTGGTACTCCCAGTGGTACATCCATTGTACTCCCACTTTCTGGAATCCTAAAATCTTTTTGCCACATAACCTCTCTTCAAAGTTCTCTACAAATCTAACTTTTTGACACTGTTTAATCACCTGACCCTACCTCCCATCTCTCATTTCTCACCTTGCTTGTTGATCCACACTATCCTAAACACCAGTTTAGCACACTTTTCTAAGTGAAAAGTGCTATTATATAATGCAAGTTGCTGTCTTTACTCTGTGATTTACTGTAGCTGCATAAATGGATCTTGCTGTCTTATTAAACTTGTACCTAAATTAAAATAGCAGAAGTAAACCGAGGTAATTTCCAACCTTAAAATTTGTTTTGAAAAATTGACTGAAGTACAGGTGTAGTGTTTTAATATAGCTTGTAAGATGTATTTGGTAAAATGCACTTTTGTCGTTTTCCCTTCATTCACTGGGTTATTTGTAAATAGGGAATATTTTGTGGCCACCCCACTGCATCCGCAGTATTCTTTAGTTCCATCTCATGAGATGCCAACATTAAATGGGGATACAGAGGTTGGTAGCATTGTAACACTATTTACAAATCCTTTTGTGAAACTTGCAAATGTCTGCATAAAACATTCAATAATCATACTAGTCACCGAATAAAACTAGTACCAACTGTATTCCTTTGCCTGTCTTATTCATATATTTTATTAATAAAAAGGTTGCAGGTTGCTTTGTAATGTAATGTATAGCCATAAGAAAGACTTCATGTCCCCTAAATATATTATCTGAAAGAATATAATGCTCATAACCAAATGCTCACTTTGTTGTTTGCAGCCTGGTTTTAGAGACTATCCTGTTTATTTAGCGAAGTTTAAGCAGTGCCTAACCAAAGCTATGCACCTTATGAAGACCTACACCGTGAATACACTTCAGAACCTTACGACTCAGTTAACAAAAAGGGTAAGGTTCACTCTGCAATAATAATAATAATAATCCTTGCATTTGATATAGCGCTTTCACGTTGGGAGGACGTCCCAAAGCGCTTCACAGAACACACTGTAAAGTGAATTGACTGTATATTTGTGGGCGAACGCGGCAGCCAATTGTGCACAGCAATGTCCCACAAACAGTCATAGATTGAAAATGACCAATTTATTATTGTTTTTGGTTTTGGAGGGATTATATTATTAGGCGTGTGGAGTAAGGAAACTTGCCCAAAGTTTCGCCCTGCCTGGAATTGAACTCAGGTCTCGCTTGCAAAGCGAGCGCACTAACCACTGAGCTACAGAACTTTTGATAACTTGTTATACAAATTATATTGCAATTGAGACAAAAATCACACAATCTGTAGTTTAGCTAAGTTGGATTTGACACCTATGTAGCCACTTTTCATCACTTGATGAATGCCTTTGTTTCAAATTTGAGCCTGCTGATGTGCTTGTATTGAGCTGTGAGCACTGTTGTGTGAAAGGCTATTAGCATGGAGTGCTCTCAGATCAAGAGACTCTGATAAGTGGGTTCCAGTGTGAAGAATGTGTGAAGATGACAAGAATGTGTGAAGAAGACAGTGTGAAGATGAGGTACCAGAGAGTGGGTGTTGCCTGAGTTGCATGTCCAGAAGAGAGTTGGAAATACAAATTAAATTGTACATCTAATCTTATCCTCTTTTTACTGGCAGGATCCCTCCATTATATCTAATACCGATAACGCCTTTACTCTGTTCTATGTAAAGTTCAGAGCAGCAGCTCCCAAAGTGCGAGTGAGTATATTTACGATTGTATTTTACCAAATAGATAAAGGATTTACTTAGGGAAAGAAGCATTGCTGCTTTAAAAGTGATGTTTGATAACTGCCTGTATTCAAAAGCTCCAGTTTCCTAAGGTATTTCAGATGTGCTAATTGTTTTTCTTTTTCCTCCTGTCAGTCACTAATTGAACAGGTGGAACAAAGAACTGAAAAAAGTTCAGAGTAAGTACTTGCATGCAGGAAAGGTTAAGAGAGAGAACTAATACAGGTTTTCAAATTATGGTTTTGATAGGGTAAAGTAGAACCCCATTATAACATTTCATTATATTAGCTGGGTACCCTGTGCACTCGTGTGCCTCTTCTCACTGACTATGATTTTGTTAGGTGCCCGTTACAAGATAAAATACCTCACTGTGAGACTTCAGTAACCTAAAGTCATGTAGCTGTACGTCAGTTGATCTGTATGTAAACGTACTGTTTCTGGTGCTGAGTATTGTGATTAATCATTGGGAAAACTACAGAATAGCGTGACATACATTTTTTTTTAAAAATGAGATCAGAAAACCTTCAACACAAATCATACATAAGAAATAACTGCTAAAATCTAGGCAGAAATTGCGCACTGATAGTGAAGACAAAATGCATAGTACTTAGTATTTACTCTATGGTCCTGCCTCACCCTATCTCTGTGACCTTCTCAAACTGCAAACCCAGCTGCTCCCCCGCTCAGTAGGCACCAGTGTGCTTCATGTCCCCTGCTTCACAATCAGCATTTGGGCTTTCAGTGTATCTGTCCTCACTTTCTGGAACTCCATCCAGAAGTCCCTTTGGCTTGCCCCTTCCCTTGCCTCCTTCAAGGTCCATCTCAAGACCTTCCTCTTTGGCCTCACTTTTGGGAATCTTTCCCCGCTCCCTCAGCCCTCAACCCCAGCTCGCGTGCAAACCCAGGACTGCTCACTGTTTTGAGACATCCTGCTGACATGAAAGGTGCCAAATAAATGTAAACTTGAATTTATTGTAAATATTTTCTGACAATCTGGTCCCTAATTTCAGAAAAATGTTTAAAGCTATTGTGTTCTTCGACTAGGTATCAACAGTTGTTGAATGAGATTCATCAGTGTTACCTGGAGCAGAGGGGGCTTCTATTGGGTCCAAGTATTGCCTCTACTATTGCCGACTTGACGAGTCAAAACAACAGGGATCACTGTGCATTGGTGGGTTTTCAATAATATTTGTACACTCTTCACTTGGCTAACGTAAATGAACTTGATGCCTACTATACTGCTAAAATTTAAGTTGATGTTTTTACTGTAAGTTATGAACTACGTTTCTGACTTTTTTCCAGAAAGTCTTTCCCCTTCCCCAAACGCCTTCAGATTTCCTCTAATTGCACACTAATTGGTGGCAAATGAATTATGTACAAAGCATATACTGTGTTTTCAAAATGTAGTTGTCAGTACTGTAGTGACTGGTTCCGGCAGGATCTCTTGTTTTGTTTTTTGAAGCAAAAAGGATGTTGGTTCTAATAAAAACAACTTTCTAATTATTTTCAGGTTCGCAGTGGCTGTGCATTTATGGTTCACGTTTGCCAAGATGAACATCGGCTGTACAATGAGTTTTTTACAAAACCAACTCCAAAGCTAGAGTAAGTTACTCCACTTAGCTAGAGTAACATTGTTTTGTTTTTGTTAATATAGCTTTTTATGGGCTACAAAATTGTTCCAAGTTCTTTTTTGCTTTACTGTTAAGAACCTGACTTGATTTTAAAGTGGAATTGACGTAATGGAAGTCTCTTGCAAACTACTTTCATCAAATGTGTAAATGCAGCCCTGAATGCAACATTATTCTCTTTAGCAAAGAAGGTTTTACAAGAATACAAAATGCTGTTTTATATAGGGACTTAAATAATGTCTGCAAGCCATTGGGTAAATTCCTAATGTAAGCTGAAACTTGTTTCAGCTTACATTAGGAATGTAATTTATATACTGTTTAATTTATATGTATATAAATTTATATACTGTACCTTTCACATAGGATAACATTGAGCACAGTGAAGCTTAACCTTGACCTGCATGGACATTAGTTACAGACTGCCTTTTAAAATTTTGTTTAGAACATCCATATGTGGAATCAATATTGTTGTTATTGCCCCAGCTTTGTAAAAAGTTGCTTTTAAATTGTTCGCTTCATGCCTATGGTAAACATTCTCCACAGAGGTGGTGTGACAAATGATCATTTTAGCTTGCAATAGTGTGGAATATAATTGAAAAGTAAACTAGACAACTATCTTGCATTACTTGAACGCTAGCATTTTCTGCAGAGGCGTTTACACATTGTGATCCACATTGCATAGTTGCTAATCTTTACCCTTTATAATGTGGCTGGAGATGACGTCTCTTGTGCCTCTGTTTACCTAGCAGTAAGTAGGAACCCGGTTGCTAGTCGATTGGTGGATCGCTTTTCCAGGGGTAATAAATCCTTCAAAAAAAATAATATTAATAATTTGGTCACTTAATCCACGGCTGTTTGTGGGACATTGCTGTGCGCAATTTGCTGCCGCATTTCGCTCACAGCACATACAGTCAATTCACTATACAGTATATTCTGCAAAGCGCTTTGAGACGTCTAGATGATGTGAAAAGGTGCTACATCAAATTCAAGGATTATATTATTGGTAAGAAGGCAATAAGTCAATATGATTCTTCAAGGGCAGTTTTGCTGGAGTTTTCTGCAGAAATGTATTCTATAAAAGCTGCACTATTGTAAATGCACTAATTTACATTCAAATACATTAAGCGATCAAAAGCAACGCAGTTAATCTTTGACAGACATTTGTGTACCAGGCTGGTGTACTGGTGACTAAACATAGTGTTTTGTACTTTGTAGTGAGCTCCTGGAGAAACTGTGTATCTCGTGGTATGATGTATTTCGTCCACTCATCATCCATGTCAACCACTTGGAGACGCTATCAGAGCTCTGTGGGATTCTGAAAAATGAAATGCTGGAGGACCATGTGCACAACAATGGTGTGTGGCTACAAAACGTTTGAAAAATCTGAAATCTGTGTAGCGCTATCCCTAAGTTATGGTATTTTGATGTGTTAAACATTAAAAATGTTTGCAGAACAGAACTAGTCCTGTAGCTCAGTGGTCAGAGAACCTATCTCGCAAGAGAGACACCTGGGTTCGATTCCCGGCAGGGCGAAACATTGGGCAAGTTTCTTTACTCCACATGCTTCTGTTTACCTAGCAGTAAGTAGGAACCTGGTCGTTAGTCGATTGGTGGATTACTTTTCCGAGGGTAATAAATTGGTCACTCAGTCCAAGACTGTTTATGGGACACTGCTGTGCGCAATTGGCTGCAGCGTTTCGCCCACAAAATATACAGTCAACTCACTTTACAGTATATTCCATGAAGTGCTTTGAGGAGTCTCGAAGATGTGATAAAGCGCTATATCAAATGCAAGTATTATTATAAATAAAGTATTTAACCAAACTGCACAGGTTACTTTCTTCTTTCACTCATGTGCTGCAGTAAAATGGTGACACAACTATTCTTCTCTTCTCAGTGGAACAACTGGGTGCCTTTGCTGCGGTGGCAAAGCAGATGCTGGAAGATGTGCAGGAGCGTCTTGTCTACAGGACACACATCTACATCCAAACTGATATTGTGGGCTATAAACCTGCATCTGGTGACCTGGCTTATCCTGATAAACTGGAAATGATGGAGGTAAACGAATACGCTTTCTCCAGTTCTTACATCACTGGTAGGAGGAAGCTTCAAAGGAAAGCTGATCTTGTGATTGATTGTATGTGGTACTCCATGTTGGTGGTCAGGTTGCTTTGTTAAATTGAAGTGCAATTCTCATTTGCATTTAGGAATAGTAATAATAGTAATTCTTGCATTTGATATAGTGTTCTATCACGTCTTCGAGACGTCTCAAAGCTATTCACAGAATATACTGTAAAGTGAATTGATTGAAACTGGATGTACAGTAACTGATTTTGGTGCATTCATCTATTTTACAGCAAATTGCACAGAGTATAAAAGAAGAACAAAAGAGGTTGCCTGCAGCAGATGCCTCTTTTGCAGAGGTCCAGCTCGAAGATCCTGATTCTCAAAATGTTATCAAATCAGGTATTGCACTGTTTTGGTCTGCTATCAAAAAGCATTTTTTAAAATAATAAGCCTGAGCCTTCCATTGACACCTGAAGTGTTATCGCCGTGATTGCACAAGCTTCCGTTTTGAAAAAAAAGTTAGTGTAATTTTGCATTATTATTGAACACTGATGAACTATTATTCACACTTGGGAATGTAAGTAAAACTTTCCAAGTGAATGTATTTTACCTTGCATGTAAATACTATCTAAAGTATGCTTTATGGTTTGTGTTTGCATAGGTACCCCTCCTCGATCCCAGTCAACCATTTCCCCAGCCGATTTGCATGGCATGTGGTATCCAACAGTGCGAAGAACGCTAGTTTGTCTCTCAAAACTTTACAGGTGTATAGATGTAAGTTTCCGCATACAATATTTGATTTCGAAACCAAATTCTCCTCTGTTTGGTATTCTTCAACTTGTTTGGTATTCTTATCTGACTAGTATTTTTAAATAATAAATAAATGTAAAATGAGTGTAGTCAGAATATGTGCTATAACTTATAAAGCACCTTTTATGATAGTTAATTAATGCTTCAGATTGTTCCCAATCAGCAGAATATGGATTTTGTTTCCTAATTGTAGGATTTGCCACAGAGAGCATGAAAATATGGGGTGATATACTTGGAACGTTCCTAAGGGTCTCTTCAAAGCTGCCTCTAGAACCTTAGGAACTTGTTCCCTGTGTTCCCAATCAACTACTGTAGTCACTTTTTATCTTGTAGCCTTCTCTGGACACCAGTCTAGACCATTTCTGACATCCCAGCCAGCCTAACTCACCAGTAAGACTTGGAAAGGCAGAGTGTGGTCTGGTCACTGGGAGAAGGATTCTTCCTACTCCACTCTTATTCTCCCTGCAAGCCTAAATGGGTAGGCAGTAATAATAATAGTCCTAGCATTTGATATAGTGCTTTGTCACGTCATTGCGATGTCTCAAAGTGCTTCACGGTCCTAGCTGGACAAACAGTGGGACACTTGCCAGGCAACGCTCTCAATGGCAAGCTATCTGATTTTAGCTAGTTAATTTCCAGCAGTACTCTAAGATACACTGAGGGGTCCCCAAGCTCTGTCTCTTGCCAACCTTTGCTTAATACTCTCCAGAAATTGGAAAGCAGGATGCATCTCTCCAGGGAGAGTGCACATTCTATTTCAAAGTGATCCCAAGCAGTTATTCTGCAGATCATTACAGCACTTGGCTCAAATTAAATGGAGTAGCCTTTCAACGTAGCAGCTCATGGATGAGTTTATTTAATTTTTTCCCCTGTATCTATACAAAAAAAAAATGAATTTTAAGAAAAGTCACCTGAAAGAATAATTATAAAAGCTTGAGTGGTCAAATCTTGAGTTATTTTTAAAAGTTTGAATTTTCCTAAGATGTGTGTAATTCTGCTGATTTTCCCCAGAGGGCAGTGTTTCAGGGCCTGTCGCAGGAAGCTTTATCAGCGTGTATACAGTCATTGCTCGCAGCTGCTGATTCTATTACAAAGAACAAGGTCAGTGCAAAAGTCAAACTTGTTCCTGGGGTTTGTCCATAATGTGTTAACATACTCCGTTATCAGAATATTTGATGGCCCAGTGAGTGAAGATGATAGACCAAACAGCTGAAGTACTAGAAATGATTTGATTGCCTCTTACTGATGTGCTGGTCTGTGAAACTGTTCCTTATTACCCTCTTCAATATGTGCACAAAAACACCAAGTCATTTGTAGCACAGTTCATCTTTTTTGTTTTTAGCATCATTATAAAAAAAGATATTGTATGGCAGTTATATTTATAAATTGATGCAAATTTTCCTTAAAGTAAAAATCTACATATTCTCAGTGATTCAGAATTAATGTTCCAATGACCTAATTACAGGTTTTCAGTTTTTATTACATAACCAATGTAGTACCCAAATGATCATTTCTCTTTCTATTTTAGACCCAGACAGATGGACAGCTCTTCCTTATCAAACACCTTTTGATACTTCGGGAGCAGATTGCTCCTTTTCACACTGACTTTGCCATTAAGGAGATTTCCCTGGACCTTAAAAAAACTAGAGGTATTGCATGGTGCTGGCTGGTAGAATTGGGTGGTCAGATCCTGCCCATCTTTTACTGTTCAACACAACAGCGGGTTTATTTTACGTTCATTTGCAATGATCTGCATGATTACATGTTGCATTCTCTCATATTCCACTAACTTTTTCTAAATTGGCATTGCTGTCGGTATCCTACATCTATAATCTGACTGACGTGCATGTGGTGGATAGATGCTGGGATTGGATTTTTTTTGCTGTGTAAATTGAAGGAGGGAAAAAAATACTAGTTTAAAAGTTTGGCACCAGGAGACAATTTGAAGTGTATAGTAATACTTTGATTTAGTATTCTGATCTATGTTTAGTTTAATAACTAATAGTGGTTCAAATCTGGCTTGGCCAGTCATTCATCAAAATCAGTAATATCACAGAACATGGTCTCTTCACATCTTCACATAAGGGCAGTTGACAGCCTTGCATTTTAAGTGATTTTTTCTTAATGTATAAATATGGTGCTGTCCACTGTTCAGCTTGTCTGTTTTTTAGCATTTATCACTGCTGTCTGTTCAAAGGAAACTTTTAACTGCTCCATTACTGTCACTTCAGCCTGCTTGTTTTTTCATCCTTTCATTTATTCCTTTCTCTCCAGAAACTCCAGTTTGCAATCTATTCGTAACACTAGATTAGCTTCAAGAGCCACCGTGTGTGTGTGTGTGTGTGTGTGTGTGTATTAATCTTTATTGGCTTCTCCTTACTCCTGACTTTCTAATATTTAATTTGTATATCTGATATTTAATCACTACTCGATTGCAGAGAGACATTCTGGTGTCTTTACTAATTCTTATTTGTAACTTCCCAATATAAGTCTGTTTCTTCAATCTGTCCGTCAGTCTGCAAGAAACCATTCCCTCAAGATTTTTAATAGGCTTTGTGGGGGAACTGTAATGCAGATACATGGTCTTAAAAGCTCTTCATTTAGAGTTGAGATGTAAGAGAGATGGCTTGAGTGAGGCAATAAACTTGTCCCCCTCCTCCCAATCCTATCTCTATGATCTCCTGAGTTCCTATTGCCCTGGCTGCTCCATCTACTGAGCAAATGGAGCCCTGGCTTCATATTGCCTGCCCATTCAGCCCACCATCAGTGGGGGGAGCTTTCAGCCATCCTTCCTGGCTCTGCTGGGACTGAGTTCTGGAGTTCCTTTGCCTTGCTCCCTCCCTACATTCAAAACCTGTCTCGGGACTTATCTCTTTATATGACTCCCATCTCTCACCTCCGAAAAATAATAATAATAGCAGGCTTGGGCTAGCACACAGTTGTGTGACGCTCTTTGAGACATCCTCCCAATGTGAAAGAGGTTATATATAAATGTAAATTGTTGTTGAAAGCAGTGATATTTTCTAAACTTGTAGAAGTGCTTAGAGGGTTGCAATCCAAGGAATCCTGATCCTGGGATCCCTATGGTAATGTGCTCTTGAAATCTCTGTATTCATTGAAAAGATTTGTGTAATTTTCCTGTGTGTTTTGTAGCAATAACAAGCTCTTCTGCCCTTGTGTGAGCTATAACTAAATTTGCTACTAATCGTTGCTCTTTCACATTTTAATTAACTGCAGCTAACTAGTTTCTACATTGCATTTGAACATTGATAAGCTCCTTGTTTTCATTGCTTGGTTTCTAGTTGGGATACAGGTGAAGGGTAATACATCCTTATGGTTGTGTTGGCTGGCTGGTACACAGCTTTGAGCATCATATTATGTGTGCCCTTACTGGGAATACCTGACCAAAACTTTGTGCCAGCCAGGGGCAATGAGCTGGAGCTGGTAAGTGAATCAAAGATACATAATCTCACAATTTAAAAAGGAGGTCAAATTTTGTTTATGCAAAAACATGAAAAAGAGTTGTTTTTTAATGTGATTGCAGTTTAAAATGAACAAATACTTTTTGTTAGGCACAACCAAACTTAACACCTGCACAATATACCATAATTCAGGCCAGAAATTATGCTCATTTTGAGGCCTAACAATTCATGTAATGTAAAAGTATTGATAAAAATAATGCTTCCTCTTCAGTAACAACAAATTACATTTATATAGTGCTTTACATTTCGGAAGTCTCCTTGGCATGAATAGAGAAACTGTATAGCATGCCTATTTAGGGTTGTTTGCGTAAAATTAATTATTGAGGACAGTAACTTTTCTCTCAGCACAGAGATATGATGGTTAAAATAATCAGTTACCTGGGTGCAGATGCTGAAAATGTGTTCAGCACTGAGATGCTGCCTTATTTGAAGGAATAGAAATTTATGGCACAAAGGCCGTTCGGCCTACAATGTCTGTGTCGGACCCCTCAGGCAATCCTTTCAGTCCCATTTATTTGCCCTTTCCTTTCCCCATCCACCAATGATTCTTGTTCTGAATTAATATAAACTTGTTTTAGACAAATTAGTGTTTGTTATTCTCTGCAGTTTTTAACTGTACACAGGAACTCAGCATTTTAGCATTGTTTCAGCTAATACTCAGTCAGCGCATATTGGAAATTGATTAACAATGCGCAGGTGACTCTTGGAGTCTTAGGTGTAGAAGGCCTACCTAACTAGGGCCTGCTGTTTTTGGTCTATTTACTGGTGTGTAGGTTTCTATGTTCTGGTGAAACATCATGATTCTCTTTTTTAACCTTTTGTTGATCAAATTGAGTGTATGGCAGCTATTTTTTATTTTCCTGTTCTGTGTCTCTCAACTGTGTGATGTTTGTTTTACATTTGAATCCTTTTTTTTTTACAGAAGCAGCATTTAAAATGCTGAACCCCAAATCTGTTCCTCGGCTATTCAGGCTGAGCAGCAATAATTCCATCCTAGAATTTTTGTTGGAGGTATGACTCTCAAATGTATTTGCACAGAAGTTGGGCCAAGACGTTTATAAAGACCTTCTTCACTGGTGAAGGAAATTCTGCATGCCACAGTCCAGTAGGGAACTATTATAGTTTGTGATAAGTATAAAGTCATTAAAATTGAACAATTTATGTAGATTGAATTATGTCTGGTTAAAAATGTGATGTGAGAATTGTTGAATTGAAATCCTGTGGATGCTATTCAAGAGAACTAGTCTAAGTTAGTACTAAAATGCTTTAGCCATTGACTGTTGGGCTAAATGGATAGGCCAGTAATTCTATTTGTATCTACCTAGGGATCCCCAGAGATAAAAGAACATTATATAGACTCAAAGAAGGAAGTGGATCGTAATTTGAAGTCAGCTTGTGAAAAATTTATTCAGCATCAGACCCAACTCTTTGTGGGACACCTTGAAGAATTTATGACCAAAGTAAGTAAAATGCTACTCTGCACAGAATTGTGAAGTGGTGCTTCAAACATAATTTACATTAAGTTTAGAATGACTGTGTACAAATATGAAATTTTATCATTCTGCATTTGATACTAAATTCAAAGACAAAACTTGAGCTGATTGCTGAGGAAGCTAATTTGTGGGATTTGCAAATAGATATGAAACTTGGCTCCAATAGTGGTCTACCAGGTGCTAGGAGCCTTTGCCTGGAATACAGCAGCATAAAGGTTATTATATCAAATCTCTCCAGTTACTGTTACAAGGTGACTTATTTGCACCCAAAGAGTTCTGTGTGTGACTGGAAATCCCTGGCCCAGGCAATATATTTGCAGTGCTTTAGGTTTCAAATTTTAAAAGAAATTGATTATTTGTGTCCTTAGTCCATACATTATGACTTGAGGGGAGGTTGTGAGAGATTCAGACTTCTCTAGTAACTGTTGAACATGAACACAACGTTCATGTTGTATTGACGAGGTATTATACTGGAGCAGGCACAAGTTTAGCTTGTACACTTATTCTTATCTCGAAAATCTAATGAGAAGGACAGGAAATGCTTTAGAGGAGTTGGTACACTACGTTGTTCTATGAAGATATAACTGAATTTGTACAATTAATGTTGGTGGTATGGCAGCAAGGTGTTCTATTTAAATTGAATTCTCAACTGTATCATTTTAGTATGCGTTTGATCCTCGTAGAAACTATTGTTACCTTTTGTGTGACGTACTTTCAAATATCACTTAAAAATAACTTGATTCTAATTGATGCCTACTTATGTGTGTGTGTGATGGCAAATATAAGATTTACATTTCAGGTCATGCTAGTTGAGAATTGACCTTGAGTTATTTCTACCCAGGTGACTGCTTTAAAAAACATGAGCCATCAAGGGGGTCCAAAATACCTTTTAGCTCAGCAACCATGGGCACAGCCAGGTATGTTCTGTTCTCTTCCCTTTGGAACAGCGCATGTGTTCCTCTACTCTTGCATTTAAATCAGTCTGTAATTGATTATTGTGTTAATTTTTAAGCAGGAACCTGTTTGCATATCAATGTTATTTATATAAGTGAGTATTTATTTCATTAAAATAGCTGTCTATTAGTATAAGCAGTAAGGGGGAGGAAACTATCTGCTTGGAAGAAAATCACAACTGGGTCGTTTCCATTGGTGCGATGTAAGACATTTTACATCCGAAGATCCCTTCCTCATGTTGTTTTTAGACTAGTCACTTCACAAATGCATACGTAGTCTGTTAGTCCAAACCAATCATACCTATCAACTTTAATACACACAAGAGTCGAGATTCAATTGAGAATTGTTTCTTGGTCAACATGTAAAGAGCATGTGTTTCCTCACAATGGATGCATTGCCTTTTGAGATGCAAAAACAATCTGAAAATGTCTAGATTTACTGAATTATAAGGTTCAGATAATGCAGATGCTGAAACACTGGTCATCTTGTCAACTTGCAGCAAAAATCAATGATGTTGTGGCATCCACTTACAAAACCATAAAGAACAAGCTGCCACCCATCTTGAGGAGTCTGTCTTTATACTTGTCCAACAAGGATACAGAGTTCATCTTGTTTAAACCTGTGAGGGTAAGTAACTATGTTGTTTGAACATTTCTACATTGATGTTAAGTGTGACACAGAGCACAATTCTAAATGCACCCTAAGCTTTAAAACTGTCCACATTTACTTTGTATGGAAGGGGTATTCACGATATTTGTACCAATGCTACATTTTTGCAGATAAATCTCTTGGAAATTAATGTGTATTTTCAGCTCAAAATCTGTACTTTAGAGAGGATTGCTTGCATTTTCCATTTTACAAATTAAGCCTTTCTCTTTAGAGCAACATTCAGCAAACATTCCAGAAACTCCACAGTGTATTACAGGAGGACTTCAGTGGTGAAGATCTCCAGATCATAGCCTGTCCTTCAATGGACCAGGTAAGAGCCCAGAAACTGGGTATTGAATGGGAGATTCTCTTTTGAATAATGCTCCAGCATTTTCATTCACCTGAACAAGACCTTGGTTTAACATCTTATCCGAAGGACAACACCTCCAACAATAGTTTTTCTCCTTCTTCCCCCACTCCACCCGACCCAGCGCATCCAGCAATGCATTGCAGTGTCAGCCTAGACTATGCAAGTTCAAGATCACAATGTGGTGCTTGAACCCTCAATGTTCTGAGTGAGGTGAGAAAGCTGCCATTGAGCCAGATTGACCTAAATCTTACCTACTCTTTATCACTTAATTTGGATCTCTTAAGAGTTGTGGTTGATTAGAAATGGAGAACAGGATAGAGGTTGCAGAACATGTTTCATCTCTGACCTTTTAGACTAACCAGATGTTAACTAACATCTTTCCTTTTCCCACCCCCGTTTATTTTTTTACAGGTTAACTTGCTGTTGTCCATTTCCAAATAGCAGCATTGCCATCCTTTGGGTCCAACAGGAAGATGTCTGGATCTTAATCGTATCAGCTGTACAAAGAAAAAACTTAGCACGAATTTTCAGGAAGAAAAGGAAAATCTTGACTGGAGGGAATCTGAGATGCGCTATCTCTGCATAACCTCTGTTTAAATGCTGTCTGAAGTTAACAGATTAGTGATTACTTCAGGTTGGTCATCACGAGGTGCAATCTATCTTTTTTGCATGAGCCACTTGTTCACAATTTCAAAAGCAATTTTGCAACCAAATCTGTCTTCAGCTGCTGATTTTAGTCCACGGAACAGCTTACCTAACAATGTGATGGCAGCTAGCTAAAATAGCTTCTCGTTTCACCAGGTGCTGCATGTATTCTGTGTAGGTTTCATAGTGTGGGAAGGTTTAATAAACTAATAAGCGAAATGCCACACTACCAAGTCATTTATTTTTTAAGAGCACTAAAAGATGTTCATACTGGGGTGTGATGCTTGTAATTGGTTGTGTGCTGGATACTCGGTCAATTGTTATGTTCCTTTGACAAGACTGCACAGGTATGTCCAGACCAGCTGGATGTACAATGTCCCAGGGTGTATTCTTTTGACTACCCTGATTCAGTTCATACACTGGACAATATTGCATTGCCAACCCAGCACTGACTTGCCTTTTTCTTCCAACTAGAACACATGTTTTGAAGGAATTGTACTATCTTAATAGAATTCCCTTGTTTTGTAGCCTGGATTAAATAAATCAACAGAACCACAACTTCAGTCAACAGCTTTGCACTATTTCAGAAAACTAAGTTGAAATGCAAGTAGTGAAGTTCCTAGATTGTGACTCTGTATCAGCTATAAATGTGCATTTAATAACATAAATTTTGCAGCTGCAGTAGAGGTGGTGAAACAGCTGTAGAAGCACCCCTTCCAGGCAGAAATAATCCTTGTTGCAAATGTATAATTAGAGCATTGACAAACTCACTATCGATTTCATTTCTGAAGTCTAAGGAAAATGTCACAAATTTGTACTTTGAAGCTATGCTAATGGGATTTGGCTTTGTAAGATGCTGATCAGTAATTGTAATTTGAAACTGCAGATGGTATTCAGGGTGAGAGTAATTTGGAAAACAATTAATAATGGTGTTCTATTTACTCATTTTAATCTCGGAATCTCTTATATCACCACTGTTGAGTTTAATTGTTCAAGGACTTTCATTCACTGTCTGTGTTTGTTTGTCTGAGGAAGCTTTCAATTATTTCAGGTTTGATGAACTAAAAATCAAATTACAATTTATAATTGACGGCAGCAACACAAGTCATTTGCATATCTGGTTTCATTCTTTGTTCAGCTGCCGAACAACATTGGTATAAGATTAATTGTAGGAAGGTCTGTTCCTCAGTGCATTGTAACTGGCATAAACCTGTGTGGCAGGTTTTAAAAAGACAATTACTTGAAGGTAGGCCAATGAACGTAATTGTGAATTAAAGAAATAAGATTACTAATGAACGAGCAGGATTTGAGCGGTGAAATTGAACTGCTAAGAAGCTGAATTTCACCCTTGCAGTTGTGTCCATGTTAAATTAATTTGCTATGTAACTCCCCTACGGCTCAGCGAGTAAGTGTGCTATGGGGTCATTTAGACAACGGGGTTGATCTTTTGGTCTGTATTGAAGTAGCTGATTTGGGAGGGACGTCAGAATGGCCCTCAGAATGGTGATGAGAATGGAAAATGAACCAGTGTTTAAGCCTGATTGCTGACTCATGCTGGAAATCGTGAATTCCAGAAAAAGACACCTGGACAAATTGGTGGAAGCCCTCTTTAGCCCATGGTGCCTTGTGCCAGCATTCAAATTGGCTTTCTTTATAGGAGCTTAGAAAATTGGACGGAAACTACTTTGGATACAGGAGGGATATGTTCCAGAAACCAAGAATTTAGATTTTGAGTGGGATGTCTAAAGATGCGGTGCATATAGCCATTAAAATGGGAATAATCTTTATAAATCTACAAACATTCAATTGTGAATGAAGATGTTTAGAAAATGTACAAGTTCTGTTGACGCCTGTTCTAACAAAAGGACGTGTGTTGAGCAATTTGATTGAAATACTTACTGTAACATAATGTACATGATGTGAAATAGCTAAGTGGTTTTATGTACAAAATAGGGAGAATGTTTGATGTACACATAGTTTCTGTGTACAGTAATAAAGTTGCATTGTGTAAATACATGAACAGTGCGTTCACTGTAAAGGGTACACTGAAGATGTTTTTCTATGATGATTAGTTTTAATTTTTTGGCTTTCCTGTTTCATTACTCTTCATCATGGAGAATGGTTTAAAATGACTTCAAACAGATTACTGATTCTATCATACCTTTGTTTTCTGAAGCAATATGTTGAAGGTTTACTTATGTAAACTGTGTGTACATAATAAGATTGATAATATAAACATGCTTGTCTCTAGTTTCTCAATGCAATCTGATAGTTTTAATAAAATGTTTCAAGAAAAGGCGCATTTCTACTTTAACTGGTTCCAGTCTCACATCCTAACCTGCATTCTTTGTGGCTTTGTTTTAACTTTTTGATACCCTTTCTCAAAATAACTTTCAAGGTATGTCAGGTGTTATCCTCCCTTTTTGAAGCCTTGGTGGGTATTTCTTTCATTGTCATCCCATAAGCTTGATTGTTAGAATATTTTCATGATATTGATATTTTTCTCGCACAGAGGAGTTAGGATGTGGAAAGCCCTAAACAGGAAGCAGTGGGTGACGCAGGTTCTATATTGGCCTTCGAGAGAGAACTAGGCAAATACCTTTTATATTTTAAAAAAAATCAGCTGCAGTGGTATGGGGAAAGGCCAGGTAAATGGGACCGAAGGAAGCTAGCATAGACATGATGAGCTGAATGACTTTCTGTACTGTAAATTTCTATGGTTCTAGCTATTTTCCATCACTATTTTTCATACGTTTCACCCACAAAATACAGTCACTAAACTTTACAGTAATAAAACACAAAATATTGCAGATACTGGAAATCTGAAACAAAAACAGAGCTGGGAAAACTCAGCAGGTCAGGCAGCATCTATGGAGAAAGGAAAGTCAGTCAACGTTTCGGGTACATGACCCGTCTGACGAAGGGTCATGTACCTGAAATGTTGACTCACTTTCCTTTCTCCATAGATGCTGCCTGACCTGCTGAGTGTTCCCAGCTCTCTCTTTTTTTTTACATTTTACAGTATGTTGTGTGAAGAGCTTTGAGACATCTCAAAGATGTGATCAGGTGCTATATCAAATGCAAGGATTATTCTCATGAAAACTGGTTGGTTGTGAGGTGAAGATACATAAATGTGCCCAGAGTTCTGTTAGTACTTCAGTAAAAATCTATAAGCAAACGGTACATTTGTTTATAAATTTACAACAGTAAATGTAGATTGAGATAGTGGGTTGAGCACGACATGTAATTTGCATCATGAAGTTTAGTTCGAAATTCTACTCAATCCTCTCGCCTGCTGCAAATTCAGGAGCTTCTGAAACCTGGATAGTGGATGAAACTTGCATTCAAGCATTTTCACATTGTTGCAGTACGGACATATGGTGGTGTTCAGGATCTTCGTGTAGAGGCTGGTGATTTTAAGACACATTGACTGGAGAAACTGTTCTTCCTCTAGGATGGGTGGTTCGGGTATAGTCCTGTTCTTCGGATATTTCAAGTATTTCTTTTTAAAAAGAAAACAAAGTTATTTTTAGTACAATTTAGAAAATAATCATCTGAAATTGGCTGAAGGAAGCTGCGGATGTTTAACATGGTTATTCAGTTGTACAATGACAGTTCTGGGTACTGCTCACTTAAGATTCTCCTCCTCCATCACCCATCTACACATCTTCCTACATCACAATGTTTCCTGGCAATTCATCAGAAAACATCTAGGCATTAAAATAAAACTTCTGAACTTGGAAACCATTGGGAACCATTCACAGGGGCACCTGATAACCAGTCCACCACTGACCTTACTGAAATCCGGCTCACCCCTGTCGCCATCCTCCCTCTCACTAAGACCTATCCCCGCGGCTACATTTTCCACCATACCCCCTGCTCCGAACATCATTTTGATCTGCTCATCACTCAAGGCCTTGCCATCTCTGATATCTCCATTTCTGACAGGCATTAATCACTGCATATGCTTTCATTTCTCTCATCCCATTCCCTGCCATCAAACCTGTCACCGTTGCTTTCTGCCCATGGGGAAAACAAAACTCCCCACTTCCTCATAAATGCCCTTGAGTGATCCTGCCTCTTGGCCCTCCACCTGTCTCAGCCTTACCTTACCTACTGCACACTCTCCCATCCCACACTCAAGCATTATTCCTCTGTTAAATTTTACAAATACTCTGAACTTGTGAATACTGTTAAATATAATTTTACTTTACACCCAGTGCAGGCAGGTGTGTGGGGATTTGATTTCACATCCAGTGAGAGGAATATCTTGGAGAAGGATATTTTTTTCCTATTTAAATCTGTCAGACACTTACTACAAATTTTGCTCCCACGTTAAATGTCACTTTCATCTTGCCTGCTTCAAATCTCACATAAATTTGCTCCTGTGATTGAATCCGGACGTTTATATGAGGATTTAGGTCCAAGATGATTTGCTGATATGGAGGTGCATGCACATGATGGTGATAATCCACCCACTTCCACTGTTTCATTATTGTTCCCTGTTTATCTGAATGAGATCCACAACATGGCTCAAGGCAGACCCTGAAAAAGGACCACAAGTTTCAAAGGCAGGCACTGTGATTCATCCTTTTGCAAAGTTTAATTTTTCTCTATTTAATTTTCTGCTGAAATTTTGGATTTAATATCCTGTCAAACTACTGCTGGGAATACAATATTTTTTTCCCCTTCTGGTCTATTTAAAGTGCAATCAGCCTAAGTACAGCATATGTCAGATACAGAGTCAAGTTTTCTTTCTTGTGAGTCAACAATATACCTTAGCTTCAACTTCAGAAGACCACCCCCCACCCCCCCACACACACACCGCCTGTATTGATGTTTTCCATTTGTAATGATGAGTAAGTATATAATTCATATTAGGGTAAAGTTTCCAGTTTCATTCACATTAAAGGGTTTATACAATGGCACCTTAAAATCTTCCAAAATGGCTGCCTCAGTTGGTATGTCCTTCCTGGGACCTTGAATTTATATAGTCTAGGCCAGGGGTCTCTAACTGGTTAATCATCGCAAGGTAATGCTCTCCCGCATGATCAGAAAGACGAGGAAGGAATGATATTACTGTGTAATTATTGAGTCCAATTGAAACCGAAGCCAAATGCATGAAGTATTTCATGCATCTTCAATTAAAAATATAAACTTTAATGTTTAAACTACGGTAAATATTGCTATTACTAATATTATTGAGCATGTGTGAGACACCACCTAGAGGCGATGGACAGTTTGGAGATCACTGTTCTAAACTGACAACCCAGTGCAATGCTAGGTGTGCTGTATTATTGTTGGAGGTGCTGTTCTTCACATGAGATATTAAACTGAGGTTCTGGCAGCTTGTTCAGGTGGATGTTAAAGATCCCATTGCACTTTTTCAAAAAGAGGAGGAAGTTTGGTCCTTGGCAACAATCCCCCAAATTAAATTGGTCACTCACTCCCTGGCTGTTTGTGGGACACTGCTCTCATCGCAAATTGGCTGCCACAGCCTAAAAAATACACAGTCACTACATTTTACAGTAAAGATGTGAAACTTTGAGAAGACCTCCCCTCCCTGATGTCCCTCTGCTCCAAGAAAATCAGAAACGGCTTCAAAAGCTTGTCGTCTCGTCACCGTGACTAACCAGGATCCATCCCCTGCCCCTTAGTGTGGTATTTAATAATTCTTTACAAACCAGCTGGCACCCAAAGCTGCTCAGCTATCAATCCTATATTTAGGTGAATTTAATTCTACAGACTGATGGAAGGACATTTCAAGTCATCGCTTCACTCACCACAGCACTCCATTTGGATGGTAACAGGCTCCATGAGCGTTTGTGTGAAAGAATGCCTCAATTTTAGGACCCCAACTTTCATCTTGGTAAATGATGTACACAAAGTGACCCTGGGAGGCTATTATTTGAATGGCAATGTTACCTGAGGGGTAACTTGGTTGAAGTTAAGGAGCACAATGGCAATGGAGACTGAAAACAACCAGAACTTAGTCTGAAAAAACACACAACTGTATCATACTCGATGTTAGCAAGATAGGAATGTTAAGATAGTAAAACAAATTCCTGGTATTCATTATTGACAGCACAGATAGGGTCTTTTAACTCACATGTCTGTAGTGACACAAAGCTTCATTGGGTTTTTAAATAAAAGCATATTTTTTAACTGAAAACTACTAATTGTTTGGCAATGTTCCACGGCATGTGGTACTGTAGTGCACTGCACATTTGAAAGCCGCAGAATAAGATGTTTGCAAGCCATTACTTGCTATTAGTTGCCACTACTGGCAACAAAGTTTAATGAATTACAAAGCATCAAACAATTTCATTAATGAATGGATTCCCACCTGCACCACCTAAGTGTGGATAACTTGAGGCTAATTTTCTACTTTATTCAATTCCCTGATCAGTTTGGTTATCACTCTGAAAAGACTGATTTAATAATTCACAGTGCAAGTCTAAATTAGTACCTTGCCTTGTAGTACTTGTAAATATAATTGCATTCTGAAATGGACAGTTTTGGAAGGACTTGAAGTGAGCAGGTGTCACTGTGACAGGTGTTTAGTTGTACACATCAGCACTGATATCACTTAATGATGTTGTACAACTTAGAGCGTTACAGTCAGGAGCATGGAATTTTAGTTACGTTTTGTGTAGCAAATTCTGTAGTAATTGACACTGCCTTTTTTCATTCCTAATCTTAAAACTGTAACAAAATCATTCTGATACTCTTACACTCTGTACTTTTGGCATGTGCTTCGTTTGTTAGCCAAGATCGTAAATTACAGTGAACTATTTGACTACAGTGGATATCACAACTCATCCTATCTTACCTTCACCCAACATCGCTGGACAAGGAGTGACTGTGGGAAAAGTCAGCTAATTTTCTTCCTAATATTGGAGATAATTGTATTATCCTTACTTTTACCGAGATCAGATAACTCAGCAGAGATCAAGAATCAAAGCTGGTACCTTTTCCATCTTTAAGTTCCTCACTGGTTACTAACTTTATCAACTGAATCACTGAGTGAAAGATTTTCATTCAAAACAGTCTCTTTTGCAGCCTTTGTCATTTATAACTGTATTCACTTCATGTTTATAGTGGAAAAATGAGCCTCTGACACTTGTGGAGTCGTGTAGCTCAGTGGTTAGAGCACTCGCTTTGCAAGCGAGAGACCCGAATTCAATTCCAGGCAGGTCAGGGCGAAACCTTGGGCAAGTTTCCTTACTCCACACACCTAATAATAATCACTCCAAAACAAAAAACAATAATACATTGGTCATTTTCAATCTACGA